CGTCACCAACCCCAGCACAATACACCAACACGATTTCGTACACTGAGAGGGAATTATTTCCAGGTGAGGTGGGAAATTGTGCAGGTGGCTTCTGGAAGACCTTCCCATGAAGCAGCAACATTTCTAGTGGAATGTTTCATTTAAAAGCTGGATCTTCTCTCTGAGCCGCGGTCATCACACCCACTGAGGAGAGCTGCTGTTGGTCTTGGGGACTCCTTCTGTCCTAGGCTTCTGGCTATTCTGTCCTAGCTGGGCTGAACAAAGCCAGACACACAGGTGCCAGCCCCCGATGCAGGAGAGGATGGCACTGGGGTGTTTCCTGGCCTGAGGATCTGGGGGGCTTGGCTGTGGAGAGACCTTGGGTGGGGACCAGCCCTGCAAGGCCCTGGATGAAGTCTCTGACTTCATACTTTGAATGGGTCCTCGGTGAATGGAGAAGAACCCAGGCCCTGGAGCTGAATGCTGGCTGGAAACAGGTGACCTTTCTGACTCGTTTCTCAATACCTAATACACCAGGCTGATACTATCCTGAAAGTGGGCAGTGGTTCCTTAAGCTCCTCTCTGACTGGGGTGGGCCTCCTTCTGCCTGGAATTCTGGACACTTTCCTGCCCACTCCATCTCAGTGGACCCACCCACCGCAGCTGACGCCTTGTCCTGTCCACCCTGCTCAGTTCTTGCCAGTACATGGGCACCTGATACCTACTCTAGCTTGCTGTTGGGATCTTTCCAGTCAGGGGCAAGCTGCAGAGCGCGGGATGCCGCCCCTGCTGGGTTTCCCCTCTCTGGCTCTGGGCCTTGTGCCAGTCACGGCCTCAGCTCCGACTTGTAATTGTCCTTTTTCATTGTGTTTATTTTCAAGAACTGTTTCTGTTCATGACAAAGGATACTTTCCATTTACTGCCATGACAGAAAGTCATTTAAAGGTAAATTTAAGAAGCCAAGTAATAGAAAAGTCTCAAGCAGCTTAACTGCCGTGCTGGCGAGTTGGTGTGTTAGACACGTGTTCTGCGGACGCACAGCGCTCTCTGGCTGTGCGCGGGCACATACGCTGTCACGCCATCCTGCTGGGACTCCAGCCTCGGGAGCTGGTAGGGCCACCTCCCACACATGGACGAGTAGCCGAGAGCACCCAGGTTTGCTGGGGTGAGTGCACACTTGCTCCCTTACATTTCTGTCCAGGGGTGCATGAGACACCCGTGTCTTTCTTTTCTTTTTTTAAAGATTTATTTATTTCTGCATACAGAACTGGGGTACAGGCCAGAGGTGCAGGGATGGCCAGAGGATTCACCAGAGACAGAGTGGGGAGCAGAATAGGCAGATCGTCGAAGTACACTGCTGAGGGGAGCAGCGGGCGGGTCAGGAGAGGTCTGCCGCGCCATGTGGGTCACCTCCGGGGTGGGCAGGGTTTGAACTCACGCTGAAGTGGCTTTAGCTTCTTAGAGCTGTGCTTTAACCTGCTGTGCCACCAGGAGACACCTGTGTCTCTCTACCCTCGCCTACACCTTTAAGCCAGCTGGAGATGATACAGCCATAGCCCTGTACGCTGAAGATCTTTGAAGTTTACTACAAACTGTGGCAGTGGGTGGGGCCATGGAGATAATGCAGGAAAAAAGCCATTTTTGTCTTTCAGTCCTTGTTCATGGTATCTGGATCATGGGCCAAGTGCTTTGCTACTTTGCTGAATGTCCAGAATACAAAGCTCCCTCACGAACCCATGTTTAGTGGGGTTCGGTGTCAGCCATCACCACTCAGCAAGTCCTGTGTCCTGGGGAGCAAGGCCAGGGGGTCTTTGGGGCTTTTTCCAGTCTAACTCATCCTCGCCAAGGTGTTTCTGTAACACGCTACTCTTGATGAATGTTTCAGTATGGCGCTTCCAAAGGTATTTTAAATTTCCATGGCGAAACCTAAATTCAGAAACAAAGGTGGGTATGAATGAACACAATCTGAGGACACATTGGGGTCACGAGGCCAAGTGTCAGGTTTTGGTCAAGGCCACTGGCTTCTGAGTCTCAGGGCCCCACAGGTGCGTGGCAGCCACCCAGGGCTCTTAGTCCTGTGCGTTGGTCGTGCAGTGTCTTCCGATGACGACAGAAGAGACCGTGTCTGATCCTGAACCTGGGGATGCACTGCACTGAAGCCAAGTAGCCACGATGCACGTTTCAGCACGCTGCCCTGTGAAGTTCACCATCGGCGCTTCCTCCACCTTTCATCCGAGTTTCCCAAATCACAACCCGACACCAACTTAAGAAGTATTTTAACCATCTGCAACGCATCGATGCAGCCAGGCTCTGAAAATAGCAGCTGTGGCCACACACCGAAGAACAGGCCTTTGTGAGCAGAGTGAAAGAAGCTGTTTGTCCTGAGTTCTTCTTTTCAGCCTCAGACAGAGCTCCCCGCATTGACTAGGGCAGTGTCTATAAGTGGAGCGCAGAGTCAGAGGAAGGCAGGAACCTTGGCTTGCTGGTCTTTTCACTGCTGAGTTCTCAAAGCTCGAATTTTCCCAAGAAGGGATGAACTCACATGAAGGCAGGTAGTGGGGCTCACTGCAAAATAGGCGGGTGAGCGCCGGCGGGGCCAGGCTCAGGAGGAAGCACACAAAATGGACTCTCCAGGGGCCCCTGCTGTTGCAACCCAGGCTGGGCCCGGCCTTCCAGACATGGCTGCACACCAGTGGCTGCTGTGCACCTGTGTCAAGTTCAGTTTTTCAAACAACATTGAACTCACCTCTTCAGCCAAATGAGCGGTGCTGAGGAAGACCAGTTTCAGAAACTCCCCTCTAGACATGAATCTAAACCACACCACTTCCTGAGCGGCCTCACACATGGAGCCGCCTTCCCAGCCAGCGCAGCACTTCTTCTGCCTTGTGACTGTCAAGGGTACAATTCAGAGTCAGAACTACAGGCCAGTTAGCGCCTGGCGGAGTGGCACGGAGGGCGTCCTTGGCTCTTCCTGACCATGTTTAATTGTCTTCTGCCCACCTTTAAGAGGCTATGGATGACACCATCTACAGCCCCTAAGCGTTCAAGTGAGCCTGAAAGCGAGAGAACAAAGGAGATTACTCAGCAAGGGCAGAGAACAGGGGGCAGGAAAAGCCTTTTTAAGTACCTAAGCCCAAAGCCCACGCCAGATGCCAGGAAGATGGAATAAAATCTGTTCCTGTTGCCTTGAAATGCTTGATATGCCAAAGGAAGGTCTTCAGCAGGTCATTTATTAGCAGATCTAGTCTTCATTTCAAAAGGAAAATGAAATGACAGAGACTCAAGCCTTTTTGCTTAAAATAACTTCATCAGATACTTTTCTGGTTCGTAAGCGTGGTGGCTGGGTGTTCACGCTGTTGTGCGAAATGTGCCTCCCTGAACTTCTTCGTCGCCAGCACACCATTGTGGTATTAAAAAAAAAAAAAATTCACAAGGGGAAGATGGGAGCTCCCTTCCTTCCACCTTATGAAGCTCATTAGGTGAGAACAAACAAGGAGGTTAGTGCAGGGGCAGTGGGTGGTGGCAGCCCCACGGAGCCTGGAGCCAGGAAATGAGAAGGGGGTGTGAGCTTTTGATAGTTAACAGGCTTGGATTTGGGGGTCAGAGTCCAAGAGGGCTCCTGCATGGCGGGTGGCCAAGGAATGCTTGTATGTGAGGGGCTGAGCCTGAACACTGAGACCACGGGATTGTGGGAAACGGGAACCTCAGGCACAAAGGGGAAGATGACTAGAATGAATGCTGTGATTGGAATCAAAGGTATCTGGGTACTCAGGATCTGCGTAGACTTGAAATAGCTGTACATGCACAGAGCACTGCGCTCTGCCCAGGCAGAGGGTCTGCAGGTAGGAATACCTCATGGCCACACGCACTCAGTTCTTGGTTTCTAAATAGCTCTCTCCACTAAAAGAAACCAGAACTCCTTGGGGAAAGGGGCTGATTCAGTCTCCAGCAGGGAATACCCAAGACAAGCTCAAATAAAGGGAACGTAGTAACTGGCTGTGGGCGCTGTGAAGGACTCCCACTGGCAAAAGGATGCTAGTCATGGACTATAATCGTTGAGGAAAACAGGAACCGGTGAGTTCATGTAAAGTTAATGAGTAAAGAGAGAGCTTCCCTTACAGAATGCCGAAATCAAAGCAGAATGGGGAGATGAAGCAATGCCACTTGGCGACCATCGTCACGGTAATTCAGTCAGGAAACGGCAGCAGACTGATTTGGGTGCAAACTTGAAGTGCAGGATTAATCTCCAGACACGGCCCCACAAAACACTTTATTTTTTTGTGGAGGGACTTCTACACTGCCTCAAGTAAGTGATCAAGGTGAACACCAGTAACAAGGTAATTAAAACAGGTCTCTCCAGACAGGAGGCGGTGGGAACACAGCACCAGCAGACCTTCCTGCCAAGACCACAGCCTTAGCCAAATTTGCAAAACAGCCTGTAATCTTCAAATGTCAAGGTCAATCGCGTAAGCCTGAAAGACTGTCCCACTGAAAGGAGAGGAGCTACTGCTACTCCATGTAGCACAACAGACCTTTTGTTTTGGTGATAAAGGAGTTCACTGCGACTACTGGGAAAACTTGCTTATTTGTGGACTTCTGCTTCTGAGGAGTGTACTTGGTGATAGAAGAGACCGCCCTGTTACAGGACTGACACATTAAGATAGTCAGGTCAGCTATCAGCTGCAACTTCCTCTAAATGATGGACTTGCCGCCCCAGGGGCTCTTTCTGCACTATATTTTTTGGAGTTACTTAAAACATTGCTGTGTCTGAGCACATTTTCATTATGTGTAATTAAAACAGCTGAGAACGCTCAAGTTAAAAATCTAAAAGGTAGGGAAGAAATGCAAACCCTGTTGACAAAGCAGACATTTATACAAAGCACATACCCAGAACACAGGCCAGCAACAGCACTGAGGCGCAGTTCACATCAGAGGTGAACCTATGCGGCCCAACAGTTCTCTTCATTGCTTCTGAGTCACAGTTTAGGGCACATATACACACGAGACAGTTTTCCTAAAATTGAAGATTCTTTTAATTTTCTAGACACAGGTTACTTGGAGGGAGCGACAGTGTCTGAAGTTCCATGTAACCAAGGTCAAGTGGACATGATCGAATCCTTCACAAAGACACAATACGATGCTCTTTACGGCAATGTTTTTGAATCAAGAATCAACTCCCAGGGGCATCTTCCCATCTTGCTTCCCACCACTGAAGGAGACCTCTAGGCAATTAACTGCCTAGACCACGTATCTGAATTCTCCCAACATTTAATGCAACCTGAGTCAAATGACATCTCATATATAATTCTTGATGCTTTTAAAATTCATGAGTACTATGAATACTCGTTAATAATAGAAATTATAAACCGGTAAGAGATTCATTGAGATTTCAAGAAAACACTTAAGTATATATTAAGGGCTTCACAAATATGAAGCACAGCTGTTAGAAAGGTGGTAAGAAGCACATTTTCCTTGGCTTGAGGTTCATGTCCGCTTGGGTCCAGAACCGCCCAGCAGCAGCAAGAGCATCTGGGAATGTTCTTCTTACGAGCCGCAGTCAGCTCCCCTCATGTCAGCGCCGTCGCACGGCCGCTGCGCGGGTGCTGGGCAGGAGAGGCTTGCGGTACTTGCACTGGACCCAAACTCGGTACATTGTCAGCAGCTTCCCCCGGTTTACTTGCAATCGGCGGTCTACCAAGTTCTGAACCTTTTCCAGGCCGGCGGTGGTAAAAAGCGTGTCCAGTTCATCTAATTTTGAAAAAACATTTATGTAGTTCCCCCCAAAAGAAAAGAAACATTATGAATGGCTACCACGCCCCTGTTAAGTGGGGCTGAGCCTGTGGCCATCGTTTATTCATTTCAAGCAGTGTTGGCTGGGCTCTTCAGTTCAAATGCTGTACTGATCAGGTATCGCCAAGTCTATTTATTTTTTGTAGAAGATTTTTATTTATTTATGCATATAAGAACTGGCCTATAGGCTAGAGGTGCGGGGGTGAGAGGGCTCACCAGAGACAGAGTGGGGAGCAGAACAGGTGGAGCTACTGAAATACACAACTGAGGGTAACAGCAGGCGAGACTGGAGAGGCCTGTGTGCCATGTGCCAGCAACCTGGGCCGGGGTCAGAAGGAACTCCTGCTGCAGCAGCTGTGAACAGCTTGATAGAGCGAGACTTTAACCCCTGAGCCACCAGGGAGGCCCCACGCCAACAGCTAGGGGAAGCCACACCATCTGGGAAGGGCAGTCTGGAACCGGAGGGACAGTTTCTCTTAAGAGTCAGCTGTCAGGGAGGAGCTTTCAAGAAGAGCTCTATGGACACATGAAAATTGTATGCCAGCACCCACATGTATGTATGCCAAAGCCATCTTTTCTTGGGCAGCAGTTCCACCGCTTTAACCGAAGGCTAAAGAAAAGTATGTGACCAACAGAGAAAGCCCAATGAGGACACCCATGGAAGGTCAAGCAACAGGAAAGTAGTTTTGGGTTCAGGGTTACCTGAAGTGCTATGAGAAATGAGTTCACTGTAAGGCAGGTACATTTAAGCCTGACTTAGCTGAGGAGGCGAAGCAGCCGCACTGGAATCTTGCTCAAAAGTCACATTTCCCAGTTTTATTTGTTTAAAGATTTATTTATTTATACATACAAGAGCTGGAGTACAGGCCAGAGATACAGAGGGTGAGAAAATTCACCAGAGACAGAGCGGGGAGCAGGAGAGGCCGACTGATGAAGTGCATTGCTGAGGGGAGCAGCAAGCGGGTCAGGAGGGGTCTGCTGTGCCATGTGGGTCACATCCCTGGCAGGGGATCAAGCTCAAGTATAAGTGCTTCATAGCACTGAGACTTAACCCTTTGTGCCACCAGGGAGGCCACGTTTCCCATTTTGGACAAAATGAGAGGAATCGCAGGAAAGCAAACAGGCTGAGGCTATGTGGAAAGTGAAGGTGCTGATGGCTGCAGGCCAGAGGAAGAGGAGTGGGGAAGGAGAGGGAAGAACCACAAAAGGCAGGAAGCGCCAGAGATTTCACTTCTGAAAGCCTGCTGTGGATTGTTTAACCTGATATTTGGGGAGTTGCTACCATAAATAAAGCGAGTGTGTGCATACCTGGTGTGAAGAAGTAAACTCTGGTGCCGTCACCTCTGACATAGAAATTTTCAGAAAGACATCGACCTGCAGGGTGGTTTGGAGAAAAAAAAAATTAGAGAAACGTTATAGCACTTCTTTGAATTTCGCTGCCAATCAAAGTGCATCAAGTTGTCCATTTCTTGGACAGAGAAAGGGATCCTTTCCTGGTTAGGTTTGGTACTGCGCAGGAACCTGTCATTTCTGACAAGGGAGGGCACTCTGAAGAGCAGCCCAAGGGGAATAATCCATCTTCAGTGCCAGGCAATACACAGTCCTCCGATGCATGATGAGAACAGCTTGTTCCCCCCACCCCAGAGTAAATGGCACACAGTTCTTGTTTAAAAATCAAAACAGAAAGGCCCGACAGGAGCCCAAGCAGTACAGCTAAGTTTAAAGAAACCCGCGGCAGCCACCTCTACCATGTGCGCGTTGCCCCTCGGCTAGTCTCTCCACACGCTGGCACCTCTTCACGAATCTGCAACCGTTTAATTCTGCTGCTCCCCCACCCCCCAAACTAACCTCAATTTAACTACCTGGTGCAAAATTGTTCTCTGCCTTAGTCTGACTCACCTACTCCCCTCCAGCTCTCAACACACAGGGCATCAGGCGTGAGCTGCCCCCAGCACTGCGCTCTTCTCTCCTGGTTGTGCAAGGAAGCCCTTCAGACTGGCAGCTGGGGCCCGCCTCGAGGATACGCCACCGTCCCCCACCAAGGAGCAGCCACCGTCCCCCACCAAGGAGCACGGACTATTTCCAACGTTTATACCGATAACAGAGGTGTGGCTTTCTCTGAGCTAAGCAGAGAAATGTTTAAGAACTGGTGTCTCTTTTCTTTTTTGGCCATGCTCTTCAACCTGTAATAGCCCCTGCTTACTTTGGGGGAAGGTCATTGATATCTTCCTTATCAATTTGCCAACAGCTCCTTGAAGACCACAGGTACTAATCACCTTTTTTAAAGCGGAGCTGAGCCATGTCATAGCGGCCGTAGTCACGCAGAAGCATCATCCCTCCAGGCTTCAGGAGCGCGCTCAGTCTACTGATGGCCTTCTGCATCCTGAGGGGCACGCAGGAAGGAATAGGGTCAGGTCTCCCAGGCCAGGGCTCCTTTCCCTGCAGCACAGCCAGGAGCCAGTGGATCTCCTCATTCTGTCAGACCAACCCCACAATCTTGGCTCTGCTTCAGCTAGAACCCAGAACGTTCACTGAACCTCACTGTGCCTGCTGTGGCATCACTGCTGCTTCCCTCATCGCCTTTCAGAGAGAGGAGCCCCAAGGAATGGAGTGATTCTGGGTCCCTGGCAGATCCCCGGCTGGGGAGTTCCACTCTGCCTGGCTCACTTCCGCCTGGGAAGCCATCCCTTTGTGTCCCTGGGGCTCTCTGAGCTGAGCCCTGACCACTTGGTGTGGGGACTGGGCTGCCTGCCCCAGGCCCAAGATCTTGACTATACAGACAGGATCATCCCACTGGTTAAAAACTGCACCTCATTCTTTGGGGGGCTTGAGTCCATATGAAGAATCAACTACAGTCACCATGTAAACTGAAGAAAATGGTGAAGTGCATCTCAGTGGAGTAACATCTTTCTGTCAGAACAGAAATATAATCTACGTATAATTTTAAAATTACATATAATTTCTAAATTAGGGCCAATCTCCAAAGCAAGGCCTCTGCCCAAAGCTTTACTTTTGTCACATTACTGTTTAAGGGACCTAAAACTTACTTGTCTGGAACAATTGCTGAAAGAACAAATATGAGGATGACGATATCAAGACTTTCCTCAGGTACTGGGTAGCTCTTGTCTTCGTCACACAGATCGTGAACAAAGGCGAAACACCGAGAGGGGTCATATGCCGAATTTGTCTGCGCAAAGTTGGAAGAGAAACACAGGTATTAGGGACTGGTCACACAGCCCCAAGAAAAGCTGGTCTTGCATTAAGTGTGACAGCTGCGATCCCCCTCAGTGAGGACCAGAGTTCTAGTCATCAAGACACATTTTTACCCAAAGGTAAGAGTCAGGAACGCTTCTCAGGAGGGCCTGTGGAATCTAGTGCCCTTTTAAAATGCAGTATTCTAGATTCCCTGCTTTATGCTGGACAGCGTTTCAGGACTAAGTTCTAGTCCTGGCTAGCCCTTATGCCCTTGGTACTGTGATGTTTCCTTTCATTGCTTGAGTTTAGGAATCTCTGTAACTCCTAGTTCTAAGTTTAAAGTGGCCAAGAGACAGGTACACAGTCCCACAGCTGCAAGCTGTGACCCCTCCCTTTGCCCTTAATCATTCAAAATTAAAGGGGCCACTCACTTACCTGGACCAACTCTACAGCTGTGGAAGAAAAATCACAACAGTAAACGAAGAGTCTTGGGTCACTGAAGTGGGCAGAAAAAACAGTAGAACAATTAGATGACAAACTGACTATCTATTCTCCTTCCCCTGTAGTGGCAGTAAACCAGCAAACGGCAGAGCACCTGCAATCAAAGCAATCACCTCTAAGCCACAGATTATTTAATTTTGGTTAAGATTAAAAAAAAAAGTGTACATTCTTAGATGCTGTGGATAAGGTGTATTTGTTGTTCCTTTCTTTATTTTCTGAGTTTTTCTACTGATGTGTACTACTTTTGAAATCAGAATAGTAACAGGAAAAAAAGTATGCGGAAAAATTATTTTCTTTATATGCCGGAGACACATCTATACACAGAAAGTAGATTTGAGGCTGCTTAGGACTGATGAGGGAGAGGAAAAGGTGGGAAATGAATACTGGGTTTCTTTTTGGGGTGATAAAAGTCTTTTAAATTTACTGGATGATGGCATACCTCTATGAAAATAATTAACACTACCACACTGTACTCATTAAATAAACTAAATTGATGAAGCTGCTATATAGAAAAACAAGTATCTTATGTTGAAAAGGGACCCAAAGGTTTACCAGATGTGGTATGAAAAAGGAAGTAAGAACCCTGACCAGAATGAAGCAGGCCTTAAGCATCACAAGAAACACACAAAAGGGTTGCCTAACTGCAAAACGACCAAGTGGACAGATATCAATTTGATGTTTCCTGGATACTTCTGGCCTAGAATTTGAGGGAAGGAAAGAAGGAAGGAGATGGTCTAACAGAATTGAAGGAGGCCATGTTGAGAGGGAACAGAATCAAGTAAAGACATGTAGAGCAATCCACTCAGGTGAGGAGCGAGGAACAAGACCTGCTTCATAGGGTACTATCTTCCCTAGGGTTCTGAAAACGATGCTGAAGGCTTTAAGTTTGATGTCAATTCTAAGCAAACAAAACACAGGAACAAGAGGATTCGGTTAAGACACCGATCTCATTTCACCAGCACAAGCAGACTGTGGGGAAGAAGCCTTCTCCGTTTTCCACAAAGAATGTGATTCTAAGAGTCAAAGCTACCATAAGCTACTAATAAGTAAAATACACATTTTAAAAAAGATTTATTTATGCATACAAGAGCTGGGGTGTAGGCCAGAGGTGTGGGAGTGAGAGAATTCACCAGAGACAGAGTGGGGAGCAGAACAGGAAGACTGACCAAAACACACTGCTGAGGGGAGCAGTGGGCAAGACAGGAAAGTTCTGCTATACCATGTGGGTCAGCTCCCTGACTGGAGATTGAACTTTGTACTGCAGTGGCTGTGGATAGCTTCATAGTGCTACACTTTAACCCTTTGTGTCACCAGGAGGCCCAAAATGCACATTTAAAAAAAAACTTAAAAAAAAAAAAAAAAAAAGCTTCATAGTGCTACACTTTAACCCTTTGTGTCACCAGGAGGCCCAAAATGCACATTTAAAAAAAAACTTAAAAAAAAAAAAAAAAAGATTTATTTATACATATAGAACTGGGATTCAAGCCAGAGGCATGGGGCGGTGAAAGGATTCACCAGAGAGCAGGGAGCAGAACAGGCAGAGTGATAAAGTACATTGCTGAGGGGAGCAGCAGGTGGGTCAGGAGAGGTCTGCCAAGCCATGCGGTCACTTCCGTGGCAGGATCGAACTCGCACTGAAGCGGCTCTGGCCAGCTCCATGAAGTGCTGCACTTCATCTGTTGCTCCACCATGGAGGTCCCAAAATGCACATTTTAATGAGGCCAGTGGCTCCTAAATCCTGTTAGTAAGTACTGTGGCCTAATCTAGCTAAATTATTTATATGGAACCTTTGAGAAATAGTGTGTTCCAGTGGAGAACATGGAACTAGAATGTCATTTCCATGAGTGGCTTGAATAGGAGACATGGGGTGAAATGACAATAAACACGTTTATATTAACACTATAACAGATTTTAAATCTTTCTAATTCTCCTGAGGACAAAGATAAGCCATGCATTAAATTAAATCAAAAGAATCTCCACATGGAGAATGCAGATATCTAAGTCGCCCATCATCCATACGTCCCCATAACGACTGTGACCAATCTGATGCAGTAAAGTTGAAAAGACACCCCTCCCACCTTCCCCCTTAGTTGTCATAAAAACTTTACAACATACTTACTTGTTAGTTTGTAAAATTGGAAAGACTGTGTTTCCCACGCCACAACCAACCTACAGACAAATACCAACTATTAATTTCAGAACTTTCCGAAGATTGAGTTCTCTGAAACTAGACAGAAAATCAGTCTGTGTAATTATTAGAGACGGGGACTGACACTGTATCCATGACAACCCTTGACTTGGGAACCCTCAAAGAGGCAGCGATTTAAGATAAGACCGTGAGCAGACACTGGTCTAGAAAAAAGGGTATGGTGCTGCAGCTGAAAATATTTTCTTGCTGAGCATTGCTATAAGATTACTGGAAAAGCATTTCTAGAAGCCTGGGCCAAGACAGTCACAAGAAGAGAACCATAGTAATAGTGTCCTGACAGAGTGCTGGGTATGAAAATAAAAACTATTTACCAAGGGCTTACTATGTGCCAAGTGCCAAACACTATTCTTAGCCACATCACTTCCACGAATCCTCGTAACTATGAGGCAGAGAGAGGAAGAAGTTCCATTCGGCTTGGGGAGGTGAAGGACAGTACAAAGTCATGGCAAAACTCAACCCCAAGGCTGACCAGCGTCCAGATCTGTTTCTTGTGGAGTGTGCAGGCACCATGTATGACCACAGGCCAGAGTCCACCTACACTCTGGGAGCTCTAGCTGGGTCTCTGTAAGACATGCAAACTCAGAAGTGGGTGTTCGCCTGTGACAGTGCAGGCAGCATCCCAATCCACCTCCATCTTACTAGAATGTGGTGGAAGGCAGGAGGCCTGAGTTGTCTTGTGACTGGGACTCCTTTCCAGATGGCAGCACACAAGTCTGAGATGCAATATGATGCTTCCAGAAAGCACCTCAGGTAATCTAGCTTTTGACTGCCAAGACCATCAGATATATGGGCTGCATTTAAGGCATTTTATTATTTTAAAAATAGAGGTGGTTTGAGGCCAACATCAGACAGGAAACACTTAACAGATAGAGGGACCTTCCCTCACCCCACTCCTAGAGCATAAAGGGACGGTACCTCGAATATTCGGTAGGTGGCTGAGGATCCAGGAAACTCCTCAGCATTTATTTCCAGCTGACTGAGTTTCTGAGTTATAGTCTTCTCCACAGGAGGCGATTGTGTCTCATATTCAAGGCTGTTTGAAGAGCACACGTGCGGCTCTTCTATTATTAGACCAGGTCCATCCTCATTGTTTCTGCCTTCGCATATTTCACTCTTGTTCTCTGAGAGCAAATCCTTCAAGTTATCTGGGTTTTGGCTTGGTGCCAGTTCTGGAAATTCAGTAAACAGCCAATGTCTGTCCTTGAAAAACCCATTTTCGTGGATTTTGTAAAAGTCATTCCAATATTTGTGGGCATTGGTTTCATAATCAACTGTAATTAAAAAAGAAATTTAAGAATCATCTCTATTTGTATCTAACGTCAACGATCTATCAATGTCACTTTATAACTAAAGGTATCCTCAAGTAAGTGCCAGTTTCAGAGCTGGAGGGACTTCTGAGGTCATTCAGTACCATCATCTATCCTTGTACTTGAATTCCCTCTCTATCTTCTTCCCAGAGATCAACTCCCAAGTAACTTACTTACCAGCCCACCTCCTGTATTTTCGGATTGCTTTTCATTATTAGAAAATAAAACAAGAATAAAAAACTTTAAGTACAGCAGTGAAAGGGTTCTACTACTTTTCTGGACCAATTAAATAAAGGGCAATTATCTTCCCTTTAAGTCTTTTTACAAACCAAATGCCCCACATTCTTCAGTTTCCTGTACGAATTCAAGTTATGTCACAAACAGATCTTCCTTAAACAAGTCCTAGTATATGGCTCTTTAGAGTGTGGAACTTAGAACTGAATACTAGTAATGATTCCAGAAGTGGAATTGGGCTAAAAGAAAGAAAAAAAAAAACCTAGAAAATGCTGATAAGATGGGAAAATGTCTTCAGATGAGAAGAGTTTGGTGAGAGACAAGAGAGATTAAGTAAATGTTGACAATTTTAAGGCAAATTGTTATTTTAGGGGATAAAGGCAGTACTGTCCTTAAGTTTTCTGTACTTGGCAATACTGAACCTTACCTAATGTAGCAGAAAGAACAGAAACCTATGAAATTGGATTTTAGCTCTACCTTGCTATTACTGCTTACCTTTGGGCAAGGCACTTAATATCCTGTGGTCCAAGTTTCTTTAACTGCAAAAAGAGGATATTGGACTACATGATTTTCAAAATCCCTTCCAACTCTAACTTGCTCTGTTCTAGTCTCTGTCAAACTATGCAAGGTGAATACTTTGTAAGTGGATTCTTCTAGTTGTACAAGGCTCTTTCAGTGGCCATTACTCTCCAATTTCTAGTCTTGCCTTTCAACTGTATCTTAGGAATGGACCCAGGATGTCCTAGTTTTTGGTACTTAAGGATATTTTGCAGAGAAAACTCCACCTTTCCAGATAAGGTCTCTTTCTTTGGTCAGACTTATCCATGCTGTTCATTCCATCTTTTTAGGCAGAAGAATCCCTAAGTCCTCATGGCCACGACACAAGGAAAGGCCACTTGTCAGTCATTAGTTTCCCCAACAATATTTAGATGACCTGAATACAGCTTCAACGGCAACGTATAATCATGCACCAAGCATAGTGTCTAAGACAATCGTGTGGCAACAGAGACCAGTCACATTAACTTGGGTCTAGAAATGACAAGTGAAAATTCAACTACTACAAAATAAAGTCAGTTGCCTTCTCCCAAACAACACCAACCAACCCCCAACTATCCTCTATGTGCGCAAGATTTTATGGTACAGACTTTCCATTCTTGGCCAACCGCCCCCCCCCCCCCCCCCCCCGTTCAACCCCTGCTCGGTATTCGCGCAGTTACAGAGCATCCAGGTTCTCTGGCCTCTCCCGGAAAGCGCGCCCCGCAGCACGCTGGTTGCCGAGGCCACTGAGGGCCGACCTGGCGCACCTTGCTTCTCCAGGCACACCCGCTGGGCACTGTTCTCTTGGACTTTCCTCTCCGCCGCCGCGGCCTGCTCTTGTGACCACTCCACGTTGTCCCTGGGAAAATCAAACAGGCAACTTAGGGGCCTCACGATCCAGCTGCGGGCAGGGTGAGTGGCTGGCCCAGGGGAGTCTCTCCCCGCGGGAGAGTGTCTCCAGGAGGGCGGCGCGACTCATGGGCGGCAAGCGGGGCCTTCCGGGGGGGGGGAGGGCGAGGCGCCGGTCGGGCGAGGGGCAGAGCAGTTACCAAGCGTTGTGGTGGAAGACGCGCGCCGGGTCGCTCAGGAACCGGTTCCCAAACTGCTGCCTTTTCCCGCCCACGGAGGCGGCAGAGTCTCCAGGACAGGAGTCAGCCATGACACCGGAGCCGGAAATGCGTTTGCTAGCAACGCGAGATCTTCCCGCGGGACCACGCCCTCTTCCGGAAGACGCGGGTTCTGGGCGGGAAAAGACGGAAGCTGGCGCGGCGGCCGTAGTGCGTTTCGGTGTAGCTCGCCCCGGGCTGCTGGGGCTGGCGTAGCCCCTGCCGGGACGGAGCTCCCTGGGCTGGGGGACTCTGGGGTTGCGCCCGCTTCGTGTTTTCGCTGAGAAGGCGCCGGTGGACGGGGGGGCCGGCAAGACAGTGGGCGACATTGACGCGGGTCACTGCTGGCATTCTCTTGCCGGTTCCCCGGTTGCCCTTAAGTTGTAAGACAGGAAAAACCATAGAGCTGATGGTCAGAAGAATTGAGGAAGGTAGCAGCAGGCTGATGAAATAGGGCAGTGGGCCGGCACCCGTGCTCGTGGCCTGAGAAACTACGAAATACTCCAGCTCTACGTGCACACCTGCGTCTTCACCTCAGGGAGTGGTGCGTGGAGGCTAGCAATGCTGAGGAAACGAGGACGAGTGTTCTATTTATAGGCACCTACCTTTTTGAATTACCCGAATTTGTTAGCAGGTATTGCAGTCCACGCAAATAGTTTACTATATTGATAGGGTTTAGCCTATTTCTTAGTTCTTATCAAGTGATTCTCAAAAGAATCTAAAGATTATACAGGCAGCATGAGACTCGTTGAGAAGACTTCCTGAGTCATGATTACCGTTTAGAAGAAGTGGAAGGGCATAGTTATTTAAGTAATGCAGAACTGGACCTATTTAAGTAACATTAACACAATGGGAACCAGTGATTTGTCCACTCCATTGCAGATTCTTTCCATAGGCAAAACTAAAAGGAACAACTGAGAAATTTATATCTTCTCCACTAAAGAAATGGGAACAAGCCCTAAATCTAAAAACACGTGAATTAAGACAATAAAAAACTCGTACTTTATTGGAAGACGAAATACTTCTGTGATTTTCATGGTGGCTTGAAACATTTCGAACAAAGCCTTTCCAAAAAACAAGTACAAGTTCTCTTTTCTCAAGGCCACCAGTTTGCAGATAGCAGTGGTTGATTAATAATTCTTTTCGGCATCTTGCCCTCTCATCTAGGTGCTTCCTAGATCAACAGTTCCACTATATAATTTTCTTGCACAGCGCTCATTCCGTCTTCACTTGAAGTTATGTCAGTTCTTTATATTTGTCATTTAAAATGTCAAACGACTTGGGTCCTTTTTATGACATATGATAAGGGATCTTAAACTTAACTTTCCCCCCATATTTGGGGGAAAGTAATTGTTTTGGAAGAAATTAATACGACGAAAATAATTGTTTGGAAGAAATTTGGAAGACATGGTTCTGAACCCGAGGTTTCAGACTTACCTGCCTGCAGCTACAGCGATTCCTACGTTTCAGAGGAGTTAAGGGTCCCTCTGCTGGTGAGTGTGGGCAATGCTCCTCGCTCAGTGGATGCCACAGATTCAAAACATGAAGCGATTAAGAACTCTGGATTATTGTTTTGGGTGTTAATTGGGTACACGGGCAGTTCATTGTTTCATGCTTTTCTTCCAGTTCTGTGAAGAACAGTGAAATTCTGCTCTGTAAGCATGTATTTGGAGCTGAAATACTTGGGAAGGGATTCTGATATCCTAATTTGCTATCCTTAAAGCTTTAGTCCCAGATAACCCAATAAACTGACTCAACAACTTTAAAACAGCTTTTGAGATTTTCTTCTTACGGCAAGATGTGTGTTTATGGTAGAACATTTAGAAGCTATAAATAAGACACACGTAAAGAAGAAAATGCCCCATTCTACTCTTGGTTTAACCCATTGAACACTGGTTTACATGCTTCTGTTATTTCTAATTTATAGAAAAAACTTAGTTTCAGAATAAATTGCTTTGTACCTCCCCTTTTTACAGCATCCTTGAGGTGTAATTTATATACAGCTAAATTAATCCATTTTAAGTGTACAGTCCAATGACTATTCATTCAACTCCATTTGTGAACTCATCATAATTGTTTTAGAACAACCCCATCAAGCTCCCTCATACCTCTTAGTACTTATACCCAGACTCTTTACAGTAATAGTTTGTGACTATCACTCTTTTATTTGGTTATTCTTTCATAACATCATGTTAACGATTCTAGAATTGTTTTGCATAGCTGCATCATGATTTATTCATGATTTTTAAAAAGGATTAATTTCTAGAAGTGTATTTCTATATATAGTTTATATAAATTATCATTTATTAATTAAACTGTCATAGGTATGTCTGTAAAGGAAAAACAGGATAGGGTTTGGTATGTCAACTTAAAAATTCAGGAGGCAATTAAAAAGACAAAATGAAATTATTTGGGGGGGGTCAAAGAATTCTTAATCAGGGTATTCAGATTCAAGTACAAAATTCAGAATGTACCCTTACCAGGGATAAAATAAGAGTTTTTTATGGGAAGAAGAGAGGGACATGAGGTAAACAGTTAAAGAAAACGTTCCAATAAGAGCCAATATACTTGAGATTATTTTCGATTATACATAACTGTTTATTGATTCTCTAGAAAGGCTGAAAGGAGAACCACTGATTCTATTCTCTTGGCTAAAAGTCTATAATTGCCTGTTCTCAAAACAATTGTTTGCTTGGTGCTTTCTTAAAACAATTACCCATGTCCAGGTTCAGAGATTTTTGATCCTGTTTAAAGGTCATTGGCTCAAGTGAGTCAGGTACTGCAATTCCTCTGTAATAGCTTCCTGGCTCCAAGTTGAAATGGCTTCTCAGATGTTAACTTTTACAGGTACTACCTGTGGTTTCAGGCATCCACTGCAGGTGTCTTGGAACAAATCTCCCTCAGATAGGGGAGGGACTACTATACTTTTACACGATAAGACACTGTGCCCATTAATATGAAATGTTTATTTTCCTTTCTCAAAGGAAAAAGAAATGCAATGAATGATGTACCTTTATGACTTAGAAGTAAATTTTACGCTGTGTGTATTTTTTGAAAATAAAGTTGTAACCCACCCAAATTTGTAGTAAAGTAATACATGTTTCTTTTATTAAATGCACTAAACAACAGTGCCATAAAATTTTGTAATGGTTGAAGTCGTTTGTTTTTAAGAGTCACCCAAGAGATTGGTTTGAAGGTATATGGTAAGGAGGCTTAAGAACATCCACATTTAATTAAGATTCCTTGGGGGATGTAATATTCCCTGAAACTGAAAGTTCACTGACATTTTTTGCCTTTCTCTCCTCTTTTACAATCAATCAAAAACCGAATGTCACTCACAGTCGCTTAGCTAATGGCTAAGATGGCCCTTAGAAGCTCACCCCGCAGCCCTCTGGTGAAGTTAAGGGCGGCTTTCAATGTTTCTCTTTGCTGTGGCCCAAGCAGTTTTTTGAGCCAGGTGGGGGCAGCAGAGTGCACTTCTTGCTCTTGGAAATAACAGCAAGGGGTGTCGCTATTAATTAAGAAAGGAAAACAATCTCATGACTTAAACTTTTTTACTGGTCAGAATTTAAAAGATGTCAACATTTACAGCTGCTAAGAATGTGCTAGACAAAAGCAGGAAACCATAACTTTTCTATCTATGAAAAAGTAGTTTGCAATAAGCTGTTTAGGAAAGAAAATGCAGACATTTCATTGTTGAAAGCCTTTGAAACCTTTCCGTTTTCTTTTCCTTCCTATCTCTGTGTCACATTCACTGGTATCTGAAGAGGAACAGAATATAGAGTTGTGGTAGGAATTTCTATTCATGTAGGCATCGTATAGCCTTAAGTCCTTTGGGGAGAGCAATTCTTGGCAAACATTCCAGGACCATGTATAAGTAGAAAAGGTATCATAGAAGGATTCATTTTTAGTGTCTATCCCGATCAGGCCTCCTCGGATCTTCCGCCAGAGGTTTAGCATTTCTTTTCGGTGTTCAAGAGCAATTCCTAAGTGATAGGTATCTGTGGCTCTCTTTACCTGTCGTGAGAGAGCACAAGTTTGTACAGTTACCTTAAAATAACTTTTGTTTGTAGATCACAATTATCGATACACTAAAGAGTCATATTCCCAGGCTGCTTGAAAGTCACTTGTTTATATGAGAGCACTGTTACTTAGAAATGAGAGAAAATGAAAAACATTATTTCAAATGATGAGATGATCGTAAGTCCTTGTAAAATATTAAAAACACAGAGACTAAAACAAGGAGGAGTCGTGGGCTGGAGATCCACGCTGGATGTGAGGGGAATGCCAGGGAGGGGACTAGGTGCAGATGAAGACAGAATGAGAGAAGGTGCTGAGCTGAGAGTCTTCAAAATTTACCAGGCTGGGGGAGGGGACAGCATACACAAGTCCCCAGGGCCACACACACCCTGCGGTGGGAAGGCGGGGAGGCACTTTGGTGAGGCCAGTGTCCAGGTCACTGTGGTGGCAGAGTGATGCAGGCGGGTGGGCATTAGCTGCTGGTTGGGCTCCTAGACTTGCTCTCAGTGAAAATCATGCTGTGGGAGCATCTGTTTCCAGCGTGAGACACCTCCCTCCCTGGGTAGTTTATGGAGCTGAAAGTGTGCTGAAAGACCCTGGCACCGCCGAGAGGGAGTCATTCAGGCCCAAGCAGGAAGGTGACATGACTGCATCTCCATGTTGGGACACTAGCAGCTCTGTGGGGAACAAGAGAGGGGGGCAACTGTGAGGTAGGCAGGTAGTCCAGGAAAGACCGGAGGGCCTCAGCTAAGGCAGCAGCGATAGGAGAAGTGAAGGGGCAGGTATAGAAAATCTTGAGAATGGTAGTAGGCAGTTTAGGTGGTTGGTTACTATGGAGAGTGAGGAAGAACTTAAGTTAAGGATGGCTCCTGGCCTTCTAGTTCCAGGGACTGGTGTATCATCAACTGAGATACTGAATTTTCAAGGAAGAGCCAATTTGATGCACAAATTGATGAGATGCTTTGAGGGAACAGAACAGAGTTACTCATTAGGTGGTCAATGAGACTGATAGAGGTGCTGAACGGTAGTTTGTACCTAACAGTACACAGTTAGACTGGTGACCAGGGTGAGAGTTACCAGCACACAGGAGGCAGCTGAAATGAGGAGGCCATAATGACACTGCCAAAGAGAAGCTGCCCTAACATTTCCTTTGCTTGACACAGAGATGCCCCAATGTTCTGCTGTAGCTGGGAGCCCAAATCCTTGACCTCAGGCTCCTGAGCCCTTGGGGCAACTGGCGCACCAGCCTGGAGGTCTCTGGATGTAAGCAGCATCCATTTTCTCCTGTGTGAGCATGTCCTGATGTGACAGGCCGAGAGTTCACTCCTCTGTGTCCTTGTGGCCGGACTGGCCCCCCCAGTTCCACTTGTCCCTGTCTACTACCGCTGCTCCCCTACATTTTCCACCCGTACTCGTGGAGAGGAGGAGTTGTATTTTTTTCTTTGTGATGGCTCTTAGTAAACACCAGATAAAAACTGGACAAATGAACAGATGAGACTTGAAAATGGAAACACAAAGGCTAAAGGGATAAACAGGCAGAAGAAGGAGGAGGAGGAGGAGGAAAGGCCACAGAGCTCCAAGGAGCACTGAAGGTGCAGTGTTAAAAGTCCAGGGAAGGGCCCTCCCTGGTGGCGCAGCAGGTTAAAGCACAGCACCAAGAAGCTTAAGCCACTTCTGCATGAGTTCGATTCCCGCCTGCTCCGGAGGAGATCCACATGGCATGGCAGACCTCTCCTGACCCACCCGCTGCTCCCCTCAGCAGTGTACTTCGTCGATCTGCCTGTTCTGCTCCCCACTCTGTTTCTGGTGAAGCCTCTCACCCTCCGCATCTCTGGCCTGTACCCCAGTTATGTATAAATAAATAAATCTTTAAAAAAAAAAAAGTCCAGGGAAGCAGAAAAGTATTATGCAAGCTTGATCGCGAGTGTCAAATGCAGAGGGAGGAAGCATAAAATAAATAGAGCCCAGCCTGTCTCTGTCGAGGGTACAAGCTGCTAATAACTAAGGGCACACAAGCAGATGGGTGCAGGGTGTGGCTAGCCGGTGTGGACTCTGGGACCAAGCTCACGTTCATGGCTTTGGCTCTCTTACTCCCTAGCTGCATGCCTTTGGGCATGGGTGGTGGTGAGTCAGTGGGGCACTTGCAGAGTAGCGCTCGGCACTAGCACACTCACTATTATTCCTCCTGAGCCGCTCTGAGGAAGACGCTTTCTCTCATCCTGACTCTCTGCACACACCACTCACTGCGGCTGCTGACTTATGACCTGGCTATTGCTGTTTCCAGCAAGAAACAAATGAATGTCCCAGTCCTGGGCAGATGGTGGCTCCAAGGGTCACCAGCAGCATGAATTACAATTACCATTTAAGCTCATTTGCATATAGAGAAAGAACTGTCATTACAAGCAGTAAAAGGTCTTATTTTAAAGACAGAACAGAAAAAATATATCTGGGTTTTACGTTTGTAGTGCTGAAGTGGAACATAGTTTCGTCACTGCTTTTGGGGAGGCATTCAACAGTGAATACTCACATGCTGTTTGATAGTGGCCACGTCGGCCACTGTCCAGTTCTGCTTTCTCTTGAGCATCTGGTCTATGGCAAGGATGTCCGGTGGGTAGCCTGAGGTAGGGCTGAGAGGCTTTACATTTGCTGCCTTTATGCATATTAAAAAAAAAAAAAGGTTAGTAATACAGTTTAGTTTGAATTATACATCAGACATAACAAACAGAAGCGCTTGCATGTGGTTTGTAAGGTTACGGCTGAACCATTTGTCCGGCCTACTCGGGCACCTGGTAGAATCATGTGTTCGTGGACATTTGGCAAATTCTCTTCATGCTGAAGCCTGCTCATAAGAGGTATTGACCAGAAGACAGTTTCTGTGTGGAATGGATTTGGAGGGCAGAGGAGAGCCAGCGCCATCCACACCCAAACTTCCCCACCATCACACAGCAGCCGTCACACAGCAGTAAAAAGCAAGCGTGTCCTTTTCAGAGTACAACCTGTATCAACTCCCACTTCTCAGGAGGAAGCAGCCACCCCTCCCCAGTTCCTGGGCTGCTGAGCACATTTGGAGATCACATAGTTAGGTGAGTGCTGGCCTTGAAAATGTGCCTGACCCAGCCTCACCCTAGCCCTCAGTGCTCTGGATGTTACTTCTCTGCTTGCCGTGAGCTCTCTTGCAGCCCTCATATGTGCTGCTGGGAAACCAGGCCGCGAGACTCTCTTTAAGATTGACGAATATGAATTCTTGTAATTAATCTTTCTATCTTAAGGTTTTGCCATCTTTTAACCCACTTCCCCTCTCCCTCTCAGACAGAAGTACGAGTTGTTCCCAGTTTCCACGGCCAGAGTCTCTCCCTGCATCTTCTCCGCTGGACATTATCCCATTAGTTTTCCTCTTCCCAGGGCATGTGACCGGCGTGATTATGCAGGACCTCTTACTCGGAAGGGCCGGTGTTTGGTGTAATGTTCGACTGTGCTGTCTTCAGGTTCGGAATTACTATCGGGCAAGGGGCCCTATGTTTTCATTTTGCACTGGTTTCTGCAAATTAAAGAGCCAGCCTTGCGTCTCCCTATGTCTTCAATTTCTCCTTTCTTTGAGAAGTGCTTTCAGTGTTGGCTGCATTAGGAACTTTAAAATCTCCTGAGGCCTGGGCCCCATCCTGCGAACAGAATAACTGGGTAGGTTTGAGGACTCCGCACCACCCACTTTCAAAGCTCTCTGGGTGTCCTATTGTGCAGCGGAGAACCAACCAAAACCAGAGCTTGGGGCCTTCTGACTAAACGCTTACATCTTCCATGTCCTGATATGACTTTTTAGATTCAGATTCTATAAGTTACCACATTCTCTTCTTTAACAGTTAAGTTTTTTTTGTAAGGAGTTGGTTTATTTCTGTCTCCTTTGCCAGCTTCTGGAGATGCATGATAAAAATCTCCCACTATCATTATGGATTTGCCTCTTCACTTAGGAATTATTCTTACATTTTTTTAAGTATGCAAAATGCCTTCAGTAGTCTGAAGTTTACAGATTCAGGATGGTTAAAATCTTTGATAATTAAAAAAATCATTAAATAGCATTTACATTATATTTTTTTTAAATTTTATTTCCTCAACTAATATATAATACTGGCTTATTTTTATTTTAATAGTAAGTCTACTATCTAATCTATTTTTTCTTTCCCTTTACCTTCATAAGTGTTATATTTTAGATTATTTTCCTTGAAAGCACACATCTGAGCAATAAAGACAAAGTCTGAACTTATGACACTTGTGTCTGTGACACTCCCCTGGACTCTTTTATCTTAAAATTTTAGATAACTGAAGTAAGAACACAATATGAGAATTATCCTCTCAACAAGCTCTTTAGCGTACAATACAGCGCTGTTAACTAAGGTACAATCCTATACTTTATTCATCTTGCATAATTGAGATTTATGTTCATTGATTAGCAACTCCCCATTTCCCATTTCTTCAGCCTCTGGAAGTCTTAAGTCCTCTGTCTGGAGGGGCTCCCCAAGGATTTCAGAGGGGTACAACAAATGGAGCTTTGGAAGCTGGCCTACAGGGTAGGCTGACCTCCAGTCAAATCTTGATCCCTGATTCTGAGGCTAGAAGCCTGTGCCAGATGTGGGGTGACATCAATGCTTCCTGAGAGAAGAGGGCATACTGGCCTGAGACCTTAATAAACATGACGACCAAGCGTATCTTGGGAGGGGGGCAAATAGATTGGAGGCCACAGAGTGGGTAGGGGAAGCTGGGCCTATACGTGGGCTGCTAGTCCACGGGCAGCCTGAGTTCCGGCACCTCCTCTCAGCATTGCTGCGTGGCCTGTGGGCTTCTGATCCAGAGCTGGGATTTAAGAGCTTTCATAAAGCAGCATCTGATCCCGGAATTGATGGGAGGGTCTTTTTATTATTACATTCTTATATTCTTTAGTACTCCAAACCCCAACCTCAAGACTAGGATTGTATTTTTCAGTAAGTTTAACTACTTGAAATTAAACGAAATATTTATAACTAAGTTTATTTATTTGCTTTTAATTTATTAATTATTTCACAGGGGAGAGCGTGAACACTCAGTCCCCCACTGCCACAAATAATGCAGTCAAGTTTCCCACATTTGGGGGAATCACAGGGGTCAGCACATCTTGGATAAGCCTTGCGCTGGGAAAACCACCTTGGTGATCATGGTATCATGGTATCTCCCCTGCCATATACCTAATTTTAAATTTAGGAATACAACACTGGAATCTGGTTTGAAGTATAAGGCATAACTGCATTATACTGAAGTGTAATGACTGAAAATATATATCATTAACAGGTACATTGTGGGGTCTCCCTGGTGGCGGAGGGTTTATAAAGTCTCAGTGCTATTAGGCTATTGCCAGCCACTGTACCACTAATTCTATGAGTTCTATTCCCAGCCAGGGAGCTGACCCACATGGTGCAGCAGACCTCTCCAGTCTCGCCCACTGCTCCCCTCAGCAGTGCATTTCAGTAGATCTGTCTGTTCTGCTCCCCACTCTGTCTCTGGTGGACCTTCTTACCTCCAACCCCCCTCCTACCTCTGGTCTACACCCCAGTTCTTGTATGCATAAGTAAAAATAAACTAAAAAAAAAGTATGTTACATATTCTGTTAAATTAGAACTCAAAACCCTTAGCATTTAAAGTTAGGAATATGATATACTGCACCTGTGTTTTCCAGTCTCTCTTATGGAAAAAATAGTTCTCAAAGAAATTCAGAGGTTGTTTCCTCCTTAGCATTTCTAGTTTCTGTAGGTCTTTGTATGGCTTTCCCATTACTATCCCATCCATATTAGGAAACAATGGGAAGATGGGTATTTTTGAATATGGGCTATCTGAAGGAGGATTGCATCCTAAAAAGATAGAAACAAAGATAGTTAACACAAGAAGAAATCACACGAAAGACACACAGGGTGCCTACTTTGCAGCCTGTCTGTTCTCCTTAGGGGCTCCGGCTCCCTTCCTCTCTCTCCTGTTCTTGCTCCCCCCCACCCACAGCTTCATCCAGGAGCTCATGCTATTATGACAGAGGCCACTCAGAGTGGACAGTGAGCCTGCTGTGACAGCACTTCTACTGCTTATTTCTGATCAGTAACAGACAAATCCTTTACAACAGTGGGGACAGGACAATGGCTCTTACTCTTGAGTTGTTCAAGGAATTTGAATAAATCCTTTTCTGTCATTATGGTCATGCGGGCGGCATTAGCAAAGGCAGCTGTGCTGGAGCTTGGAGGGGTGCATATATTTGACTTAAACCTCCTTTTACTATGATCAGTAGTATAGGGATTCCATGATATTCCTGAAGCTTCCTGCAATTTTTTTCGGAAATAGCTAAAAAGAAAGTAATACAGAGATGTTAAAAAATACTATGAACTTAGTGAAAAAGTGCTTGAGTACTAAACAGAAAGAAAAAATAGTCAAGCTGCAAGTTGTATAAACTAAATAAATTTATTTTAAATTGAATTTGTGTATCCATTGAGTATTATTTATTGATGCCAATTTTTGTGACATTTATTGTACAGTCATTATTAATTTCCACAGGTCATTGGGCTATTTGATAGTTTATAATCCTGGGCTTTAGTTTCCTTCCTCTTTCCAAGACTTTCATATCTTTTTTTAAATACTTTTTTCTTTCTTTTTTTTTAAGACTTATTCATACATACAGAACTGGGATACAGGCCAGAGGTGCAGGGGTGGTGAGAGGATTCACCAGAGACAGAGTGGGGAACAGAACAGGCAGATCGACAAAGTACACTGCTGAGGGGAGCAGTGGGTGGGTCAGAGAGGTCTGCTGCACCATGTGGGTCACCTCCAGGGTTGGGGATCGAACTCACACTGAGGCAGCTAAGGCCAGCTTGCAGTGTTGTATCCTAACCTATTGTGCCACTAGGGAGGGCCAAGACCTTCATATCTTATCTTGAAAAATACCTATGGGTTATGATTTTCAACAAATCCTTCAAGTAGTACCTTCAAGTATAAACATCAATCATGCCTTCTATTATATTACCTTGTGTTGAGTTTTGAAATGTACTTTTTTAAAATTAAAAGAAAATCTTGTTGTAGAGAATTTGGAAAATATAGAAAAGCATAAGAAACTAGTAGGATAGACTCCAGTAACCTTACTACCCATGGTAAATCACTGTTGATTGCATGTCTTTGCAATCTGTGTTTGTCTGTGTTTACGTATGTGCATGAACATATCTAAGAGATATGTTACTATCCATATCTCTGCATTGGTTATACAGGTTATAAATTCTGTAAGAAAAATTACATGCCTTAAATCCAACCTGGTATTATGTGGAGTATAGAGAAGCAAAACAAAGGGTCAGACAAAACAAAACCAATTACAAAACCGTGACATTACTTAAAAACTGAGGCAACTCGAAAGGAAGGGTGGTGTAGGGCAGGGGCGGGTGGGAGTGGCCCCAGGGGACGTGAGGAGGATTACTGGGGCTTTGGTGGTGGGCATGGTGTGAAAACATTCTGTCTGTGCTCCAGTCCAAAGGCTATTTCGGAGGATCTCACCCCAGAGACAAACGACCTTCCGGGAGCTGCTGCTGTTTCCAGAACGAGGTGGAAGGTCTTGTAGTCCAAACTGGACTCCCAAGCCCATCAAAACCAACCTTGAAAAATTCTTATTCCTCTAGGCAGGAATTCTCTAGGCAGGGTAGGAGAGGCTGAACTTTCTTGACTGTGTTGGGCCTTGTGCAGGGCCCTTACATGTCTGAGATGGGCTTTGCAGTTATGGAGCGAGGCAGTGCTGTGGGGATGAAGGGCAAGGTCTCAAACTGTGGCATGCGAAAGTCTCAAGCTGTGAAGGATGAAGTTTGCAAACTGGCTTGTGAGCATTTGTACAAACACCGCCTTTGCTCTGGTGCAGACCTTGGGGAGCAGAATGTTGGTGCGAGGTGACTGCCTTGTTGATATTCTCCTAAGTGTCTCCGAGGAGGCTGTGTCTGCCCCATCCTTTGTCACTTGCCTTACTATTTCCATTATAGTCTTTCTGGGTAGGGCTGACGTTTCCACAAGCTTTGATAGGATTTCAAACAACAGGATCCCTGGGTTGCCAGCCAAATCTAAACAGGTCTGATTTTCTGGAGCTATGGAAGGGAAAAAAAGTTTTTAAATGCTTTCTGACTAAACTTGAAAAAAAGAAACACAGCAGTAACAAATTGACAAACAGACCTTTGGCTATACCTTTGGTATTAATATTGTAAAGTCAGAGACTAGAGAATTATAGGAAAACATTCAAGAGCTGTTCCACTTGTCAGAAAAGTCATTTTGATGACTTACCAGACCAAATAATCACAGAATTTTAAAAAAGGGTTCATTCAGTGACTTCTAAGTAAATACAGTGATACATCTAATATAAACATGATTGTGTGTTATGAGACTATTGGCTGCTTCAGTTAGGTAGAAGAGTGATGGGCAGATACGTTTCTGGTGTGAGTAGACCCCTGTAAGGTCTTACAGGCACTTGCAAGCACTGGTTTTTGTTTCTCTTAAGGACTGTTCCCTGCTTATGAATGGGTTTGTTTTAAAATTGTATACATTATTTGGAATTGAGTTACCCTAGAAAACATGGGTAGGGTGAAGTTCTGTGAAATAGCTTGTTAAACTCGTAAACAAGCAATTTAGAGGGCTAACAGTAATATTTCCAGTGCTCCTCCAACAGTCCTAACCTCGAGTGAAAAGATGCACTTTAACCTATAGCAGAATCTCCAGCCTGCGCTGGAGATTTCATCAGGATGAGGAAACTATCTTTCAGGAACAGTAAATTCTCCATATCCAAATTTGCCCAAGAGCATTTTTCTTAAGACATTTCCCTTATTTTGTAAAAGGAATGCCTCCCCAAGCAGCACATGACTTGGCAGAGAATTAAAATATGACAAAAAAGGAGACCAGTTTTTCTACACCAGTCACTCTGAGGGTTCTCCTTGGAGATCAAAAGCAAGGTCTTCTGCATAAGGACTATGCCTGTGTACATTTAAATTAAAATTCTAAAGCTATAGATTTCCTCAGCAAATAGTTGTGGAGAAGCAGCATGAAATTCAGGCAGGTCCTAAACTGGTGTCTTCCTGACCTGTCTCCTGATGGGAGGGCTGACTGAATAATATTTGCCATGCAGTGAACTGGTTCTACCCACCTGCCATGCACACAGTCCTATCGTTACTCACCCACAGCCTTAAAGAAGCGGTTCTTGTCTGTTAGCACATTTATAAAGTCTGAGAAATTCACCTTCCCATCTCCTGCAGGAGAAATCAAAGGCTCAGAACAAGGACATAAAGCAAATTTTAATTGTCAGATTATATGTTAAATATAACAATTAAAACATTTAAACTCAGAATGCGTTCTAGAGCTAGAAATATGCTCAGTAAGCACTGGTCTTGGCGTGTCTGAGCATCCTGGTGGGGGTGGGGGAACCTGGCCACCCCGCCTCCAGAAGGGCGGAGGACAAAAAGCTCCACAGGGGGAGCTCTGCAGGGGGCCCCTGCAGTCTGCCCTCCCTTCATCCCCCCCCCCCCAAGCTGCTATTTTTGCAGGGAACTACTCCTACCTCTCTCCTCCATGCCTGCCTCTACTCTTCCCACTACGGTGATGCCCCGCGTTGTAACCCATTTCCTCTGAAAGGGAAGGGTAGTGAGTGCTATAGGAGGGGCTGTGTGTTTTGATGAACTGTAGGAAAATTGGGCAGAGTTGGTGAAAACAACTGACTCACACGCGGATGCTAACAGTACAGGGCTAGAGCAGGGGAGGAGCCACTAGCTGGCTGACTGTCCACGCCACCAGCATGCCAGTTTGGGTTACTAGTCGGTGGGACAGCAAAGCCAATGGAAACATTACTGATGCGCTTCAAAAATACCAACCACAATGCTGTGGCATTTAAAATTCAACACAGGTAGAGTCTAATGATGGAAGGTTTGCACTAACATGATGCAAACAGAAGCAAAAATCTTGGATTTCCATGGTAACAGGTCACTTTTGAAATTGTCAGTGCCTTTGTCTCTGTTATTTGAAGGCGCCCTCCAAAAAGGACAGGTAATCTGAATTTGGCATCATAATGTGACAAACATGTTTAGTTTCAACACAAGTTTTTCAAAGGATGGTCTATTTTGTAGCATTAATTTGATTTCATAGCTTGTACATAACATTACTGATATCCTTAAAGAGAAACAAATACTTTTAGAAAATAGGTTAGATTTATTTCTCATTTATACAGATATAGAGAAAAAAATAAACAACTTTCCCTTGGACAATGGTTTTTTGTAGGTCCACTTATATGTAGGATTTTCCTATCTGTGAGTTTTGCCTTCACAGATTCTTCTTATTGCAAATGTTGGTTTACTCCAAGAATGGGGAACTGAAAAGATGATAAGGGGCTGAAAATAAGGACCTGAGCATTGGGAATTGTATCTTCTGAGAATCCTGAAACCGTCCCCCGATGATACCAAGGGGTGGTGTTGTTGAGTAGTATTTTTTTATGATTTATTTTTATTTACTTATGCATACAAGAGCTGGCAGTTAGGCCAGAGGTTCAGGGGGAATGAGAGGATTCACCAAAGACAAAGTGAGTAACAGAACAAGTGAATCTACTGAAATCCACTGCTGAGGGGAGCAGCAGGGAGACAGGAGAGGTCTGCCGTGCCACATGGGTCAGCTCCCAGGCTGGGGGTCAAATTCGTGCTGCAGAGGCTGCAGACAACTTCATAGTGCTGAGACTTGAACCCTGTGCCACCAGAGAGGCCCTGTAATTACATTTCTGAGGAGCCAAGCTATATGAAGATTTTCACTTCATGTGGTACACGGGTACCGCCTTTCCCCAGCATCGTTCAAGTTAAATTGTATATTTTTATGAGTTTCACATTCTTATCTTTTATGAAAAAAATAATGACAAGTCAAAGTACTCACGATCAATATCAGCACATCTCAATTCATTATAGACATCATGTTTGGTTAGATTCATTCCCAGCTTTGCTAAAGTACACATCATTCCATGTAAGTCAATACAGCCAGTTTTATCTTTGTAAAAGAAATTGTAGGCATCTTGGAAGGCTGGAGAATGGAATTAAATTAGGGCAGTTACTAAGGATAAATACAAATTCTAATGAAATGAGGACAGAGAGAACAGCTGATGTTCTGAAAAAGAACTGAGAGTAAAATGACACATAACTGACATTTCTGGTGAGAGACAGCACTCGCCCATGGGGTTTGAACTGGTCTTTGAGAGATGTCCACCCCCTAATTCCTGGAACTTTGACTGTATCGCTTTACCTGACAGCAGGGACTCTGCAGATGTAATTCAGAGGTTAATCTTGGATTGTCTGAGTTGTCCCAACCTAATCAATGTCCCTCAGGCAGCTGGAAGCAGGAGATGTGCAGAAGGCGAAGGGGAGAAAAGTTCAAAACCTAAGAGGGATTTGAAGTCTGTTGCTCTTTTGCAGATGAAGGGGCAAGGAGACACTGAACGCAGGTGGCTGTGAGGGGCGGGAGAGGCTCCTAATCGACAGCCAGCCAGCAGCGAAATGGACCTTAATCATATGGGTCCTGTAAACAACTCTGAATAACTTTCAATTCCAAACCTGAATAAATGGAGGATTTTCTACAGAGTCTCCAGACAAGAGGCCAGGTTGGCCAACAGTTTCATTTCTACCTTCTAGACCCAGAGAAAAGGAACCAGACTTCTGAACTACAGAGCTAAATAATAATAGATCTGCATTGTTTTAAGCCACTGTTGTAATCTGTTACAGAAGTGATAGAAAACTAATGTAAATTTGAGCCCAAATTATATGTCTGTTTATGTTTGTACAGGCTCAAATTTTTTCAAAGAAAATACTGCAGCCAATTTATTTCCTGACGTTACTGAGTAAAGAACTAAACCCAGAACAAAGTACACCCCAAATGGTGCTAGAAGAAAACTAATTACATGTGATATTAATGTTGGTGTCTCTATGTAAGCAAGTGATCAATCCTGTAGCGATAATGATGATTTGCCCCCTATAGTTGTATGAAAAGTTAACATCTTTCTCCCTTGATAAAAGGCAGAGTTCTCTAGGACTGGAACCATCTCTGATTTGTTTCTAGTTTCTCCTGATATTTCCAGAAGACATTCATGTTTCAAGACATTCATCCACTCATGCAGCTTAGTCGACAAGTGCTTCCTGCATGCCTTCTATGTGCCAGTGCTGCTCCAGGCCCCTACGATACCTAAAGAGATGCCAGACAAAGAGCTCTGCCCTTCTGATGGAGTAAGTAGGTAAACTGGGTAACATTAGAAGGTAGAAAGTGCTAAGGGAAAAAGAAAAGGCAATCAGATCAGGGAATTGGAGGCTCTAGGCCTTAAGGGATGTTTCTGTATCCCATAGGTAAGATTTGAGAAGACTTGAAGGAGGTGAGGCTAGGGGAAGAGAGCACTAGCAGAGGGAAGGTCTGGAGCTAAGTTCACAAGAGCACTGGACTGGGAATGTTCCAGAAACAGCAAGCTGCTGGTGTGGCCATCACAGAGTGAGCAAGAAAAGAGAAAGGCAGGTCAGAGAGATAATGTGTGGGCAGGATGTGATGTTTTAAAATTTGCCTTATATTTTACTGTAGGTTGTCCCTGTATCTGGAGTTTTCCCTGATGTCAATATCTTACACAACTGTGGTGTGTTTGTCACAACTAAAAAGCCAACACTGGCATAATACTATAAACTGGACATGATTCAGATTTCATTGGTTTTTCCCTAGTGTCCTTATCTGTTCTAGGATCCCATATTACATGTCTTTTAGGCTCTTCTCTATAAGCTTTTTAGACTTTGTCTTTGATGATCATGACAATTTTGAGGAGCATTCTAAACCTGAAGGGGTGAAGCTTCAGCCTTCCCAGAAGCTTGACTTCTAAAAAATTTTCTAATATGGAGGGCTGTTAGTAGGTGTGGTGTGGTAACATGCATTTGGAAAAGTGTGAGCCTGTTTGAAAATATATACAGAGTTGTAAACCATTGTTACCTCAATTAAAAAAAAAAAGTGTGTGTTAGGCTTTGTCTTTCTTTTGGGGGTTTATAGATTTCACACTTACTGCTCAGAACATGGCTCTGTGCTCTATGTATCTGATTTACTTCTACTCATTATTCACTTTCTTTAGGCTCCCCTCCTGTCCTAACAAGTTCAAGACAGGAAACTTTCTTGTATGCTCCTCTAACACTTTATACTTCTATCATAGCTTGTAATACGTTTTGATCAACAAATTCATGTTTTGACTGACTGTGTTCCCTACAAGACTTTCCTTCAGAAAAGATACACACCTGGGTCTATACCAAACTGCAAAGCTTCTGGACAGCAGAAGAGACACTAACCAAAACAAAGAGATACCCTACTGAAAAAAATCTTTGCACTCCATACATCTTATAAGTGACTGATCACAAAGTTATACAAAGAATTCACACAGCTCAACAAAAACAAAGAAACAATCCAATCAAGAAATAGGCAGAAGAACTTAAAAGGCATTTCTCTAAAGAGGAAATGCAAATGGCAACAGGCATATGAAAATATGTTCAACATTCCTTATAATAAGGGATATCCAAATCAAAACCATAATGATATCACCTTGTACCAGTAAGAATAGTGCATATAAAAAAAAAAAACAAAAACAAACTAGCAACAACAAATGTTGGGGAGGATGTGATGAAAAAGGAACTCTCCTACACTGCTGGTCCAAACACTATGGAAAGCTGTGTGGAGGTTTCCACAGACTACTAAAAATGGAGCTGCCTATGACCAAACAATTCTACATCTGACCTACTCAAAGGATATAAAAACACTGATTCAAAAGAATACCTGTAGTCCTATGTCCAGCACTGTTTATAATAGGTAAAACCTGGAAATGACCCAAATGTCCCAAAATAGATGACTGGATCAAGATATGGTATATATACACAATGGAATACTATTTAGCAATCAAGAGAGATAAACTAATGCCATTAACAGTGACATGGATGGAACTAGAAGAATTTTGCTCAGTGAAATAAGTCTGAAGAAAGAAGAAAAATATTAGATGGTCTCAGGAGGAATATAGGGGAGCCAAATAAGGCATCAGGGGAAATCATAACAATATAAAACCCAACAAAACAGAATTATAAACCAGACACATCCTGCAGGGGCTGGGGGCTGTGGTGATGGTGCATGGGTGAATCGGGGGAGGAAACTCTATAGGGTCTATACCTCAGGGGTGGCAGAGCAAACATTGTTTAAAAATATACAATGATGTAAATATATATAAATAAAAACTTGAAAAAAAGACTTTCAGGGAAGGAATTGTGTTTGACTTGTTAGCTGTGATGATTCTCACGCCTAGGACACTAGTGACTTTAAATGAATATTTGTTGTTTGGATTAATAAATTGTAGTAAGTATAGCCCATCTTATCATTACACTTTTTTTTTTTTATCTCTGAGAAATCCTGGGACTTTAGTTATGTTTATACTGCTCCAATACTGATTTCTATTTAACTTTGTTCTTTCCACATGTGCAAATTATTTTTTTTTAAATCATAATATTTGGTCAGGGCCATATAAATTATATTTATTTATTTTCTTATATAATTGTTCACTTTGTACAGTAATTGGCTTCTCCCCTCAGATATAGTCCCCATAGTTTCCCTACAACCATAGCACCCACAAACCATTACCGTAAGGACTATCTAAATTCTAGGACAGTCTGTTTGAAAGTAATACTCCTTCCTCCAACAAATTAGATTTTGACTTAAACAATTTCTTTTGCTTTAAATAACAGAGTGCTGTAGACAATTCTTGAAATCTCAGATTTCTCTTAGAGATGAAAATGATCAGATGTGTTAAGGGATTTCCAGTTATAGTTTCATTTGGGGGATAATTTTCATTACCTTGTATTTGGGACGCATTCAACTTCTGTAAGTGGTATGGGGGAGATCCTGGTGAATCTTTATCCCTGAGAAAAGACATGAAAGATTTAGTGCATATATGAAACCAAAAAATATTAGTTCCAGTCATTAGTTTTTGCAGATTGGAATGATTGTATGCATTTCAGGATCTCTGGAGTCATACCACCTACGGGACCTGTTACAATCACTTGTTAATAGTCATGGAATGACAAGAAAATATAACCACTAAGTCAACCTCCACCCTGAAATGCCTTTCACATTTAACTCTTAAAAAAGTCTGATTCCAGGTCCTCCCTGGTGATGCATGGGGTTAAGTCGCAGCACTGTGAAGCTGTCTGCAGCTACTGCAGCACAAGTTCAATCCCTGGGCAGGGAGCTGACCCACATGGTGCAGCAGACCTCTCCTGAATCAGCTGCTACTCTCTTCAGCAGTGTATTTCAGTCAATCTGCCTGTTCTGTTTCCCACTCTGTCTCTAGTGAATCCTCTCACCTCCTAAACCTCTGGTCTATATCTAGTACTTGTATGCATAAATAAATAAATCTTTAAAGAAAAATCTGATTTCCCCCATTTTGCAAAAGAAGAACCTGAGGCTTAGAGGGTTTTAATAACTTCTCCCAAGTCACACAGATAAGTGGAGGTGCTCCAAAGTAAAATAGTGTAAGTCTTATATACTATTCCTATTGTGGAGAAATATGAGTTTTAAAAATTTCTTACTAGTATTAAAGAATTATGAATATTCTTATGATGTGTAATGTCCTCAACCATGATTACTTTATGACTGTCAAATTGTTTTTTACCAGTATATATAAGAACGAGGTGGATCTCTTTTTCTTTCTCTATCTCTATTTCTACTCTGTATCTATCTAGAGAATACTTCTGGAAAGCTGGGTAACCTTTCACTTTTTCAGGAAAATGAAATTTGGAAAAATGGAAAAATATTAATATTTTGCAGTTATAATTTTGGAACATAAAAATGTATTATGCAAAATCTGGGTTGCTTATATGATAATTTAAGTAAATGCATAATAATCATACTTTCATAAATCAATTTTACTTAAAGTATATTTATCTTTGATAGTAGTAGAACTAAAAGTTTTAAGAAATATGGAATCTTTTAGTTTTTGTGTTTTTACAAGCGGTTAATGAAACCATAATAAAATATTTAGCATGATAATTAAATTAAAAAAATTATGGTTTGTGAAGTTAGTATTCTCTAGAGTTTCTAAGCAGATTCGATTCATTTTCAAACAGGGACCTGAGGAGAAAGGCAGTGATAGGGTCTCACAAAGTGCATTGTCAACCTTGTCAGCACAGGATTTTATCTCAGTCTTAGTTTCTCAGTTTTTACTGACATTGATTTATTGTAGCTCTTTATGTCATCTGATTTTTTTAAAACTCAAGTTTGCATTTACTCAGGTGGTTTTGTATTTGTTGTATTTTTAAATATATACACATTTCTTTTGAATGATACCTACTAACAGAGAACTAGGACATTCTCAGGAAGCAGCAGGAAAGCAAAAGGCCAGATGACAGAAGGCCAACATTTTATTAGCTGCATTAAAAAAGGAGACTCTTAGGACTTACGAATTTCAAGCCTTACTCTGGATCAAACATGAGGTCTTTTTAATTTACTTATCTCAGAGGTTTGAAGCCTTCGACCTGGAATCAATCCCATTTAGCCTCTCACCTCTACCTGTGGTACTCTAGGCTTTGCTTATCCTTACCTGTAGTCACTACACTTTCAGCGACCAGGAGGCCGTTTAAAGAGAGAGCCTGTAATGCCGTAACGCAGAGTACAGGAACAATGAGGTCCCGGGACCTCGGTGCTATGAGGTAGTCAGTATGTTCCAGGGGCATAGCCGAGCACACTAGGAGAAATACTCTCGAAGTGCCAAGAAAAAAAAAGGATAATTTTGAGAGAGGAGAGAGACTTTTTTCAGGATCTGATAAAATACATCCAACCATTAGGACTACTGATTATTGGATTTTATAATTATCAGACTGAGAAAAAGTTGTTAATATTAAGGGGAACCTCCATTCAATTTCAGCCCACAGTCAATCAAGGCTAATTTTCCAGATTTCATTTTACCTGCAATGTTTCAGCTATCTTTTTTCCTAGTAAGCTACTTGCTTAGGGGTTTAGGGTTACCTATGATCCTCTAAATTTATTTTCCTTTGACCTGGCATTTAAAACATCAACGTTTACCTGAAAATTTCTTAAGTCCCCTAGCATATTCTGTCTCCTCACACAAAAATAGCCTATTATTTGGGAGAACAGGAAGAATAATTTTTTTGTTTTTCCAATCAAAATACACATACATACATACATATATTTTTTCTTTACATACAAATATTTTCAATTCAGAGGTATTATAGCAATTTATCACAGAATTCTAATTTCATCATTAATATATTTATTATCTAAGCAATTCTTTATCCTAATATATTTATCACATTAACACACACATTACTTACCTCTTGCCATCAGAGCTGGGAACTTTTGCTAGAGGATTCAGTTTAACTTTTGGCTTAGGGTCACAAACTGCCATGTGGTCAGTAACTCTGTCTGAATTCAGAGGGTACAATTAATGATCAATGATTAATTTCTCTAAATCCTCTTGTAACTTTCCGGCTCAAGATGTTGAATCTAAAGTCCAAGATCTTAAATAAATTCAAGTTATCGGCTTGTTCAAAGTGGGAAGGACCCCTTTATCATCCTAAGATCTCTAACCAAACTTCTTGCCATTGTCTCCCCTTCAAATACTGTCATTTGGATTTTATATAAAAGTCCATGGTACCATGTGACACAGATAAAGCATTTTGGAAATATGTGGAAAAGTTCTTTAAATTTTTATTTTTGCAATCAAATAAAATATGTTATAGTTGATGGAGAATAAAATACAGCATTTCCAAAATATTTACCTAATTGTTTATATCTTGGATACCTGTCTGGTAGGAAGTCGCTTTTTCCAGAGTCTCTTTCTGGGATGTCTACCTTTTCCTTGTCAGTTCTTAGGAGTCCATTGGTACTTCTTAAAAGAAAGAACGGGGGTAGAGGGACCTCCCTGATGGCACAAAGGGCAAGTTTCAGCACTATAAACTTGTGCCACTGTGGCACAAGTTCAACCCCCAACCAGGGAGGTGACCCACACGGTGCTACAGACCTCTCCTGTCTCGCCCACTGCTCCCCTCAGCAGTGTATCTCAGTAGATCCTCCTATTTTGCTCCCCACTCTGTTTCTGGTGAATCCTCTCAACTCCCTCATCCCACTCTTATATGCATAAATAAGTAAAAATAAAATCTATTAAAATTATTTTTGAAAAAAAGAAAAGAATGGAGATGGGATACAATGCTGTTTTGCTATTCTAAACCCTCCTGAAGGGCCTTTGTCCGCTGTGGCCCCCTAGTCCTTCCTAATTGTGCATATTTGGGAACTAGGGCCTACAGACCAATGTTGGGTGAGAGGGTCTTTCCTATTTTATTGTTGGTCGTATCTCTCCAATGACCTTTCCAAAATATAGACTGTATTAGTCACAGGCAAAAATAAGACATGAAGAACAGACAATCAAATACTATCAAGCTGAGAGGAAAAAAAGCAAGTTTTGATCAGTTTTCCCAGGTCTTCAGCTCAGAAGCTAGAAAGTTGTCTGTAAATAACCAACTACATGTGCTCAAAATCTGGACACCTACCACAGCGCGGGCACTCCGGAGAGGCTCAACAACTCAGGCACTTGAAAAAGGCTGTGAAATCATCCCCGTGGCTCAAAATTGTCATTAAAAAAATAAAAAAATTACCTTCAATCTCTTGTAGAGATGACAGATTAAAAATAAAAAAAGACTCAGCATAGATTTCTACAAAATTCGGATAGTCACCTACTTTTAAGCCTTGCTTCTTACTACTTCTGTCCTTCAAACAGATCAAGAATCCAATAAAGGGTTTGTTCCATCATTCAACTGTGACCTCATTCACTACTCAGACTTAGGCCCCACTGAGAATTTGAACATCAGCTTCTTCCAGGGTTAGAGCAACTGTGTGTTTTCAATGTGGTTCAGTCAGTACCTTTGGTTATTCATAGGTTTAAATTACAGAATCAGAACATGGTGACACTGCTGAGATTTCAGGAAAGTAGAAGTCATTTAAAAAAAAATTCTGTATTGATAAATTTCATTGCAAACTTAGTGAATTGAAAGTTGTTTAAGTGATAACTTTCATGGTAAACTTAGTGAATTGAAAGTTGTTCAAGTGAAAAATTTTATTTGACTAAATGATGCTTAGAAGTAGTTTCACTAATTGTTTAAGCCTAGGAAGAGGGACAAAAAAATCCAACTCCCATAGGTTTGAGACTACAGTATTATTGGAGTGACATAAAAAGAGTAAAGATAAGCATATGATCTTTTAATTAAAATCCAAGTAGTCAATATTCAAGGCCTGACATGTCTCAAGGCAATGTGGTTTAATTAAACTTCTAGAAAACAATGTAAAACACCTGATAATCACAAATGATGTGTGGTGGTATGGTATGGGCTGTACAGCAAAAGGAACTCAGAAAAACAGTTGGAGAGATGATGGTATTCGATTCCCATCAACAAGTAGATAGAGGGTAGTAATTGACACCACAACTGGGGAAACTAATGACGTTGATTTTTAAGTCATTGTGTTCAGGGGAAGGATGTCCTAAAAGAACTCTGTAGAGTCTTGTGGACTCCATCCCTACTCCAGCTTTCTGGATTCCACCTCCTACTTCAGTGATTGGAAAACTACAACTCCCGGCAGTACCAAGGACAGAACTGCGAGGACCTAAGGGCAGAGCTAAACAGGCATTCTGGGACTTTGGGGGATAAATAGGGAGCAGTTTTCCAACTGGGACTCTGGAGACGTAACGGTTCTCTCTCTCTGGAGCAGCTGCTCTCAGATCATGGGGCTGGGGGCTAGCAGCGTTAGTTTGGGACTAGAGCTTCAAGTTAGCCGAGCTGGTAAAGTATTCCAGCTACTTTGTATCCCTCTCTCTTTCCCTTACCCCCACTTTTTTTTTTTTAAATAAACTCATGACCCTTTTTGTGTGTGTCTGCAGAAAATTACATTTTGAGCGCACGGGTGAGGCCCCACAGACAGGCAGCCCAAGTCCATTTTGGGCTACCCTGTAACAATTGCATTAAACCTCATCCTGACAGTCCTTTACACTAGGTTTCCCATTCGCCTTTAGTACCAGGGGCAATTTTTATGGACTTTTGTAGAGGCACCATTCCTTTGCTTAAAGGCAAGAGTAAGAGACCATTAAAAATATCTGTATCTATTTAAAGTTATGAAAAGTAGAATAGGAGGATATAACTTTATCATAATGTTCCTCCAGATGAGTGGGAAGCTGAAAAGAATCAGTTCTATGTGATAGACATCTTAATTTATAATGCTTCTTTTGGTGCTTTAATGTATCAAGTGCCAAAAGAAAAGCATGACAGAATCAGCACTTACATCAAGACTAGTCATTTAACATCTTTTTAGTTTGTGAAGAGGTGAAACTTAGACAACCTATTGACTCTAGAGAAGTATGGTCTGCTACCCATTTCATTTTCACTAGTACTTTGGTCACAAACTGCTAATTATATGCCTTTCAGTGATACAGATACTATGCTGTAGTAAATTCTGTGAAGTGTATGGGTCCAATATGTATCATAATAAAATATTAACTACTAAGTCTCTTCCCCCCACTTCATGGCCAGAACAAAAACCAAACAAATGCCTTAATCGCATGAGTTCAACTCTTTTTCTTTTATCCTCTCAAAATGCAGGGCTGTTTGGTTTTTAAAACTTAAGGTTAGCTTGCAATGACTCAATTTCCTAGTGGTTTAATTGGGCAGATAAAACCTATGATGTGCTGTTTTAGTATTAGGAAAGGCAGCTTCTGGAAACAGAGGAATGCTTGGTGGGGCGCTTAGTCTATTGAAGGCTTACAGGGAAAATGTCATGCAGAAAGCAGCATTAGTTGTTTTTCTGGAGTGGGAGAGGAGAGGTTAATAGCTAAAACAAAAGACAATCCTATCAAACACCTCTTATTGCCCTCTTGCTTTTTTCTCCTTCGCTCTCCCACTTTCTCATTCTGTCTTCCCAGCGGCTTGGCCTTCCTCCTTGCAGACATCAGTTTACTAGCGGCATCTCATGCCATTCCTGGCTGCTGCATGCAGCGCTAAGGTAATGTGGGAGATTCCTGCTCCTGAAAAGATGCTGACTTTATTTTTCCACAGTAGGTCTTTCTAAAATTGTATTATAATTTTATTATGTTTTAAAAAAGTGTGGTTTCAGAAATTTTCATCTAGTCTCTATACTTAAATACCATTGAAGGTCAAGGTGAAATGTAGAGCGTTCACCATCAAATAACAAATATTAGCAGAGTTGTTCATGCAGAACAGTCATTTCCATGTTATTGTGCTTAGGTACAATTCCTCAGAAAAATAGTGCAACTTTATTCCTTAGAAAAATAGAAGTGAGAACTAGGGAAAAAGATACTTAGGTGTGAAAATACCATTGTCTAGAAAATGACTACTCATTTGAAATGTGAATATGAAAATTTAAATCACAGGAGTACATGTTGAAACACATAAAAATGTCAATACAGTATTCAGAAATAAGATCTGTTCCCTAAATATATTTTTATCTATAAATAAAAGTTAGTAAGTGGAAATGCACATTATTTGGCCAATTTGTGGAATGGGTACTATCATATGAAATTTCTAAAATTATAAAATATATTTTTAAATGTCTAAATTTTCTTTAATGCACTGTAGACTTCAAATAATAAACTTTATTTTGATGGCAAGTGTAGTGGGGCTTATATAGTGAAGAAAAGTGGACCAGCATGTGCAAGGGTAGATGTGTGAAGTGTATTTTGATAGAGATTGGAAGGAAAAGAAATGAGGAAACCTGTAAGAATAGATGAATATATAGGGAAAGTGGTAGTAAAAGAACAATAATTTATCAATTGGGATATGGAGAAGATAGGAGAAATAGGAAAAAAGCAGAAATAGAAGAAAAAAAAGAGTGATTAGAAGTTTACTGAGAGGATGTGAAATTGTGCTTTCTTGACTTTGTAAATGTTTTAAACAATGGATTCTGATTTGGGTGACCCACTTACGTTTCCTGGGGTTTCACACAACTGTCTCTTCTGAGTGGTTCATATTGGGAGGTTACCTCAAGAGTGATGTTAACCACAGCTGTTGATTTTGAATCTTCAGTGACAGAAAACAGTAGACTAGGAACCTCCCTTTATTCGTCAATTAACAAGCATTTATTGAGTACATATTATGCACTAGTAAGCTAAGTTTTAGTGAGAGCAAAATCTTGGTTTGTTTTTATCATTGAACTTTCTTTTCTTTTTATGGATAAATTTCCTTGAACGGTGCCTGTTCAGTAAGCATCAATACTGATGAGTACTGATCTTATACACCATCAAGGATATTTGCTTCCAGCATCCTTAAATTTAGCAATGCACTTTTACATTTTGGGATTAAAAGCTACCAAGAAATACTTTTGAAGGTTTTTTAGTACCAGCAACAGAAGCAGCAATAGATGGGATATGACCTACTCAATATTTTTGCTTTTACACATAATAAAACAAAATATTATTCACTTGGAAATATGAAGAGTGGATATCCAGAGTTTAAATTTATCTTCTCTGATTAAGGTTCACTTTATATATTTGTATATATAAAACAGATAAAATACTACAGAACACACATCTTAGTAACATCTTTAGATTCATCCTCCAAAGCAAAGAAAATGAAAGAAAAGGTAAACAGCTGGGATTACATCAAACTAAAATGCTTCTGTACAGCAAAAGAGACACTAAGCAAAACAAAAAGACGCTATACTGATTGGGGGGAAGTTTTGCACACAATACAACAAATTAATTCAAACAGACACCTGCACCCCTATGTTTATCGCAGCACTATTTACAGTAGGTAAGATATGGAAACAGCCCAAATGCCCCCAAATACATCTATTACTGGATCAAGACGATGTGGTATTTATATACCATAGAATACTATTCAGTAATCAAAAAAAGACAAAATCCTGCCATTCACAGCAACATGGATAGAGCTGGGATTATGCTCAGTGAAATAAGCTAGAAGGGGAAAATGTAAAACAGAAGAGGGTTTCACTTATAGGAGGAACTAAATAAGGGATCAGAAAAAATAATAACCAAAGAAACTAAATTAACAGGTAACTAAAATCAGAGACATTCTGCAGGAGAGGGGGAGGAAGAAGAATCAAAACAGGGGAGGAGAGAGCATGAGACTATGGTGATGTGCAGGAGTGAACTGGTGGTGGGAATTTCACAGGATATACCTGAGATGAGAAAGCATGCATTGTACAAAGATGAACACTGATGTAAAAAATATGTAAATAAATAGGTTAATTAATTAAAAAGATTCATTTTATAGATATTTGTATAAAGTACCTCAACTCATTCTTAAGCTCTTCTTTTTGAAACAAGATGGCAGAGGCTTATCAATTTTTAAAAAATAATCTTGTTGAAAAATACTAGTACACAGAGCAAATAAAATTACTTCAGAATGAAGTACAAATTGAGGTGTGTGTGTGTGGGAAGGACAGAAGACAAATTTTACCTGACCTCTACTAACCAATCAGTTTCACAGCAGAATTATCAAATCTTCTATTCATTCTTTTATCATTGGGTGATAAAGTTAAGAAATGTTACAACTTCCTCATTTATTCTTTCAGGTTTTGGATCCAGAAGTTTTCTACAATGACTATGAATTACTTCATAACCAAGAAAACACATGTAAATTAAACATATACCATCAGGTTATAAATTTTATAATGTACTGTAAATTTCTACTCACATTTAAATTTCTTCAGGGCATCCATTAAGGAATTCACTTTAACCTTCCCTTTTTCTGTAAAACAGTTTGAATCAGATACATAGGTTCACACAAAAAGTTGCCCACAATTATTTCTTGCAGGGCTATTGATAATGTTTATAGTGGCAAATATAGTGATAAATGTTTACAACAACATTATTGATGTAGCAGCACAAAAAGTTGCATAGCAGTTAATACCAAAAGGTGCAAACAATTCAAAATGTCCAACTGAAGAATGGGAAGGAAACAAAATGTGACATATCCATACAATAGAATATTATTTGACCATTAAAAGGAATAAAGTAGAGACAACAGCTGAATTTTGACAGTTGCATGTACCTGTGGGTAAGAGGAACCACTGAATTGTACCCATTTAAGTGGATAAATTGTATAGTTTATAAACTGCATTTCATTAAAGTTGTTAAAAAGTAATGCTGAGTACAGTAATATGTAGAATGAATTTTATAATACATCATTAAGTAGATTAATGTCAGACATTGGATTCTTAAAGAGATATACATATATCTAAATTAACTCAGGGAAGGTGAGTTTGAAGGACATATGCTAGGTATGACAGAGAATGCACCTGATGAGCATGAGAAGGAATGAGGAGATAAAGGGGAATGCAGTGAAGTAAAGCATAATGTATCCTTGCATGCACAAATGATGTAGTGTGCCTGAACTGATTGACTCAACTTGTGTACATCTGATAAGGTGAAATTTCTCCCTTTCCTTGCAAAAAAAAGAAAGAAGGTGCTGATGAGACATGAAGAAAGAACTATTTAGAAGGCAGATGAAACAAAGTATGAAAAGAATCATCTGGGGTCAAAGATTCTTAAACATTTGGGTGTCAGGCTTCTTTACAGTCTTAAATTTTAAGGACCGCCAAGTGGCTTGTGTGGTCTACAGCTATGGATATTTACCATATATTAAAATTGAAAATATTTAAAAATATTTATTGATTTATTAAAAATAAGCACTAATAAACCTGGTACATGTTAATATACTTTTTAATGAAATATAATTTCAATTGAAAAAAATTTCAAAAAGTTTTAGTGGGAAAAGGTTGCGTTGCTGACTGTTTATGTCTACACTCTAAATGCTTCTAGGTCATCTTTTTATATTAGAAAACCAGTAGTAGAAATACAAAAAATTAAAGTAGTTATAAAAAATAAGAGCCAGCAGGACAGTCATGTAACCAGGATGGATTGTTAACAAAAAAATTTCAGTAAACAAACTAGCAAACAAATCAACTCCGTAGTCCCCTCGTTCCTCCTGTGTCTCACTCCCTAACACTCATTTTTGTTTTTTAATTTCAATTACTCTAATGTATTTTCTTTTTTGGGGGGGCTGGGGTAGGGTGGGGTTGGGATAATACTATAAGTTAAGATATGAAAGGCCAGCCCCAATCTTACTGTGCCATTTTTTCAGAGTGTGATAGAGTGAGAGGTGGGCCAGCAACAATGGCATCGCCTGACACCCAGACTCTCTCAGCTTGCCCCCCAGGACAGACTCTCTGAGCTTGCCCCCCAGACACTCTCTCAGTTGCTCACAGGAGTATCATTTCTGAGGATATTATGTCCAAAATAACAAAGACATACTTCTGGGAAGATGACAGAGTTGAAAAAGCCTCACCATTATACGTCAAATGAGGCATCAGGTCCTTCATTTCTTCTTCTGTGAGATATATCCCCTTACTTGCTAGAAAGTTGTCTAAGTGCTGGAGATCAATTAACTCTCCTTAGAAAAGGTAAGAAATAAATTGCAGGAAGATTATAGAACTATCCAGAAAGAATGAAAAAAAAAAAAAAACAAACCGCTATCTGTGCTTCTATATACCATTGTCTACATGTACCTAGAATTAACAGCAGGAAAACATCCTGTCAAATTCTGGTTCAGGGAATCAGAAGGTGCCTAAGAGTACCCGATGGGTTTAAAATGATTTTGGGTTACTGCAAAATTAATAGCAAGTTCAACTACATCTAGGGGTTTTGTTTTACTTTTTTCTCTTCATCCTAAACCACATGAAAATTCAGGTTTGAAAATTTCAAACCTGTTCAAGTTAAAATTTAATTATTTTTCTGCAGATCAGTTTAAAATTTTATACTAAAAATTGGTGCTCTTTACTTGCTTCCATGGTGACTATGTATTCCAAGAATTTTATTCATCACAACACAGTCAGAATTAATTCTTTTTTAGTGTAAAATTAATATAACACTAAAGATTAATATAAAAGAGGAAATATAATTTCACTAGCCTACTCCAAAACTGTTTCTTCTAGTTTTTTCATATTCCATTTCTGGTTTTTGGCAATAAGATTATAGTTTTGCAATGTGGAAGTCTAATATACATTTTTGTCTTCTGCTTTTCCAACCTAATATCATTGCTTGACAAATGTACTAATATACCAGCATTAAGATTTGTTAGCATTTCAACTGATGATATCCCATTAGGCTACAAACCATTGTTTACATAGTGAGATATTTAGGCTATTACAAATTTCTCTGGAGGTGTTTAGGCAGAGATTTTTTTTTTATTCAATTGAATTATTTCCTGAGTATAAACTTCTGGGGGTGGGGTACTAGGAAAAGTGTATGAATATTTATGTGGCTTTTGATATCTATTATGTTTTAGAGCTCTTTGGGGAAAAATTTCAAAGGGTATTATGGAATTGATATAAAAACATAGATTAATTATTGTTTATCCAATTTTAGTGGCAGCTGCAGAAGTGGCATGTATGTAAATTAATTTAAACATTTGTGAAGTGGAAATACTTTTCTCCACCAATTGTGAAGTATTAGGTTGTTATTTATAATCTTTCCATTATAGCTTGCAACTTACCCTTGGCGTAACTAACAGTATCCATCAAATCTTTCAGATCAACTCTTTTATCATCTGTAAGGCAAAGGAAATAAAACTTTAGAACCAGATACGCTGATGTTACTGGTGAGACAGTGTAGATAAACTAAATCATCACCTGACAGGAGGGAACAGCCAGCATCCTGTCCAACAGGTGGATGAAATCACACTGGCAGAAGCTGCTTAACATTTTATTTTGACAACCTGCTTGACATATTCTATCAGACTAACAAATGGCCCCATCGTGGCCCTCCTGGCACTATATCTAGACTGAAGTTACCATGTGTTGTGACAAATACTTATCCTGACAATAGCCTCACCACTTCTGGGGAGGCGGGAGATGTAGAGAACCCATACATGCAATTAGTAAAAAGCTTGCCCAGGAGTGATCAAGGTTTCATTAGCTTGCCAAAATGCACACCCTGGGTGGAGATTTAAAAGGCTAATGAGACATGCAGTGTCTGGCAGGACCCGACTGTGGCTGCCTTGCTGTTGTCCAGCCCCAGACATCCCATGAGGTAGCTTGAGAGCCCTATGGTGGTCCCCTTAGCTCACTTCCCTTTCTGATGCTGTCTTTCTTGTGCACAAAAGCCTTGCCTGAATGTAGGCTGTCCTGCCTCCTTGTCAGGATCTTTTACAAGGGGCCGGAACCTCTGAACGAAACCCCAGATTAGCTATATGGACTCACACACACAATTTCTGCTTATACAAAATCATCAGGCAACTATAGAGCAGAGACACTCCAGAGGGGAGGAGGAGGGAGAAGCACCAGGACAGGGGTGGGAAGAGCACAAGGGACTATGGTGATGGTGCACGGGTGAATTGGCTGTGGGAATTCCATGGGGAATCATACATTGTACGAAAATGAAGGATGATGTAATGAATATATTTTTAAAAGTTCTGATTATATAAAGATCTGAACTTATATAGATGAAGGGAGTTCAGTCGATATTTTTTTCCCAAATTTTCCTTGTAACTTTATAGATTTAGCCTCAGAAAATAAGTGTCATCTTTGGCACAAAGAAAGCTCTGATCTCGGAATTATACTTGTCTCTTCCATTTTTCTTTGCTTTAGAGACCACCAGAATAAAGTTAAGAAGCGACTGGTTACAGTCAAGTATAGGAAGACAGGACAACTAAACCTGACCCTGACTTTGTTATTCAGCTGCTTAGTCAGTGCTGCCCCATGTGTGCCTGACACTTTGCTAGGTTTTTGGGGGTTGGGAGGTGACAACACAAAAGAAAACCAGATGGCAGCTCTGGCTCTCATGGAGTGTACAATTTAGTGAACAGAGATATCATAAACATCTAATAAATAAATGTGTAGATAAGAAAGAGGGTTATTTGAAGTACTGTTAAAAAGCTATCAAAATAAATTAGTGCCACATCATAAAGAGTAATAGTGGAATTGCCCCTCCTTTTCCAGAACTGCTTTGTCCTGTGGGCAGCATCTTCAAAACTGGAGGCTGCACCTTCAGCTGGTGTTTTACAATCAATGGATGAGGTCCGTAACTACCTTAGACATAGTTCACCTTCAACTTCGAACTTTAATTTTTCTTTTTTAAAAATAAAATATTTATTTATTTATGCATACAAGAACTGGAGTGCAGGCCAGAGGTGTCGGGTGGGGGAGTGAGGGCATTCACCAGACACAGAAAGGGAGCAGAAAGCAGATCTACTGAAATGCACTGCTGAGGGGAGCAGCGAGTGAGAATTTCTGCTGCGCCATGTGGGTCAGCTCCCTGACCGGGGATGGAACTTGTACTGCAGTGGCTGCAGACAGCTTCACAGTGTCGAGAGTTAACCCCCTGCACCAGGGAGGTCCCCTAATTTTCCTTTTAAATGTTCCCTTATGAATTAAATTAAAAATTTCATTTTTCAGTTTCTCAAGTGTGTGGCATTCCCAGGCAAGGCTGAATATTGCAAAAACATCCCCAACATTGTTTTAAAAACTTTTTTCAAACTGACATTTCTTTATGAGTTAGGATTAGGTCTTTCTATTTATTTCACTTTATTGTGCTACTAAAACATCTACTTCCCGCAGTTCTAATAGAAAGGCTCAGTGTTTCTCTAAAGGGCACACTGATGTCTGTAATACTCACCACCACTTGGTAACTGGGTCCTGAGTTCCTCAATTTCCCTATCTGTAAGTCTAATTCCCATGTTTTCCAAAAGGGGTTCCACTTTTTTGATTTTGACCCTTGGTCCTAAGGAAAGAGAGGCAAGGAATAAGAACACGGATGCTGACATTAATAGTGAAAAATACTGATCATGATCATGCAGCTTTACCCCACTGTGGAAAGTAAAGCACAAGGGCACAAAGAAACATTATATTCTTATCTCCCTAGATTTTGAATGTCTGTTGAAAGTAGTAAAAAAAAATCAAGAAAGATATATATTGAGACAAAGGTAAACAGTGTTTACCTTCATGGGGAGGGATTAGATCAGTGGAAGATGGGGCTTCTTTTTGTTTTTAAATATTTTTATTTATTTATGCATACAAGTGTAGGGTCAGGGATAAGTGTGTGTGAGAGGATTCACCAGAGACAGAGTGGGGAGCAGAGCAGGTGGACCCACTGAAATACACTGCTGAGGGGAGCAGGTCTGCTGTGCCATGCGGGTCAGCTCCCCTGGCTGTGGCTGGTGATAGTTTGATAGTGCTGAGACTTTAACCTCTGCACCACCAGGGAGGGCTGGCTTCATTTTTTTAAAACATGAGATATAATTGGTGTGAAACATGTAGTTTCAGGTGGACAACATAATAATTCAGTATTTGTGAAATGATCATTAAAACAAGTCTATTTAACATTCATCATCATACGTAGTTATAGTTTTTCTTTGGTGGTAAAATCTTTTAAGATCTACTCTCAGCTACTTTCAGTATACAAATCAGTAATATTAACTGCAGTCACCATAATGTCTATCAGTCTTCTGACTTAACTTTAATTTCTTTATAGCAATTACTTAAGTGATAAAATTGGATCATTGTATTATTTTACTTAAAAATATTTTCATTAGAAATCAAAAATAAAACTGTATGCACAGAATTAGGATGGAGATAGGATATTTTTCTTAATACCTCTCCAGATGACTCTGTTTCTGTTTTCTTTTTTACATCATTCTGTTTCTGTTTTCTAAGAGAGGTCGAGAGAGAGATTGGCAAGTCTAATGATATGGCTGAAATGGTAACCAGTTTATGCATCTTAAACCAGAAAACAGGAACCCTCCTATGGTAACCTAATACTTTGACTTTATCCCAAAAGAGCAATGTGCCCAAAGAAGAATGGTAAGTTTTGAGTCAGAATAATGGACCAAGAAATTGCCAGAAAGCAAAACTGGAACAACACATAGAAGAAAATGCTAAAAATTAGCATTAAAAAAAAGAGAGATATAATTGGTGTGATTACTTGCTCTTTCCCTATGCTCACTCACCACTGAGGGCCTTCACACCTTTGAGCAATCTTTTCTTATAAACTTTTCCATCAGCTGTAAGAGAAGACAAAAAGTGAGTGATGGCTCAGAGGCATTCTGTGGGCGGGGAGAGGGAAGAGGATCAAAGCAGGCTGGGAAGGGCAAAGGGCTGTGGTGACAGTGTGCGGGCAAACTGGTGCCCGGGGACTACAGACGAGACGAGAAAGCATACATTGAACAAAAATGAAAAATGATATGAAATACATATAAAAAAAGTTAGATGATTGGAAGGTTAAAAAAGGCAGCACAAAGACAACATCCAGAAGTTGAGGGGGAAAATCCTTCAGATATATTTCTATTGTTCTCTCAAGTAAAAATGAAACCAGAGATGAGAGCGGA